AGGTGTACAACAATATCATTAGAATAAGTAGAGAAAATTTGATTTTTCTTCTCTCTGTTGACTTTTTATCATATTATACTCCAATCCTACTTTGTACTCTTTTCAGGATATCTAGAAGGTCCCTTTACTCTGACTTTCAATGTAAAGTAACTTTTCAATGTAAAAGGAAAATTAATATGTTTATGTAGATTATGGTATATCTGCATCTTCACTTGCTTATCAGAGACATTGGGATCTGATTTTTTAAATGGTGCATGAAGTTGTGTTTAATTCCTTGGTGTTGGAGTATCTGTGTTTCGGCCCCTCTTCTTTCACAAGATTGCTGAGTACATTATCGAATGTGCACATCTGATCTAGCAATTTAAGAAAATTTCACCCAGCTGTTTGTTTGATCTATGCATTGATGCACTATCTCATTGAAAAACATGATGTTGCTGTTTCCCTTTGCCAACGCACTAAATACTGATTAACAGAGCCACTTAAGAAATGAAGATTATTCAGGTGTTCCACTGGCATCTGTACCAAAAGCTCAGTTATGTTCAGTAGATATCTTTTTTGTGACATATACATTCTCTTCATATACAAGATTAAGTAATAGCATACAGATACTTTTCATCCACCACTTACCTATACAAAATGAAGCTGTTGTTGCTTTATTCATAGTAACTGAGAGTTTGATTTGTATTTCTATTCTCCTTTGCTGATAGTATAGCTTCAGAGTTCCCATAGTACTGTTAAACAAAGGTTTTTAGAGTTAGTTTAATTTTCTGAGTGGATTTTAAGTTTGAAAGCTTTGGGCCAAGCAATAAGAGATTTGTTTGCTTGTAGTACAGTTTATAAGGCAAATATGTGTAGAACACTTTACCTTATTATAGAAAGCTTAAATATATCATTATGATTTCTGTTGCATTTTGATACTAGAATAATATATAAAAGTCCCCCTCCATCACTGAAAACTAAGAGCAAACTATTTGATAAACATTATTTAATTAAACATATTTACCATGAACCTTTACCTTTTCTGAACTTAGTCTGTTCAGTTTCCATAAGTTAAATAAATTTTAAAAAAAAGTGCGTATTGTAAATCTAAAAAGTTCTGTGCTTCATTCTCTCTCTTTGTTTTTTAACATTTTTGATAGATTTTACGTTTTTGAAAATAAGACTGGCTTCATTGCCAACTTCAAAATTCTTTTTGGAAGAAACAGGGTATGTTGAAATTAAAAGGACAAGGGGTGATATTAAGATGCAGATGTTCCTTTAATTTTTGTTGGTCATGCGTTATCTACTCTTTGATGACCCTCCCTGTCTGCACCTCACAGTGGTAATAATGTATTTAATGTTAGTGGTAATACATAGATGGAAGCTTACACTCTAGCTTAAGTATCCTCTTTAAACACAGTTTTCTAGCCCCCATTCCAGTATCTGTCCTTTCACTCTGTATTATATGCCTGTGCTTCTGCAATTTAATCATGCATGCAATATCCCCTTAGCATGTCTAGAGACATCTTACAGTTTGGTCCCCCATTTCCTCCTCCCAATCACAAGATGTTCTGTAAAACCAGTTAGTTTTTTATGCAAGAGAGTTGAGAGAAGCACTGCCTTTTAAGAATAAATCACAGAGAAATAGAAAATGAGTCTTCTTTCATAAAAAATCAAAAGAATAGGTCATGCAGCTAGTTTCATGAATGAAATCAAAGAACAGCTAGATTCACTTGACAGTCAGTCAAAAAAAAAAAAAAAAAAACAGTTAGATTTACTTCTTTTGACCTTGAGATGAATGAAGGTAATACAATCAAAAGTCGTTAATCCGGACTCGTCGGGACTTAGGCGATTCCGGATTATCGATTTTTCTGGATTATAGATCATCAGTTTAAATCTGGTAAGATGGCACGCAGAAATTATAAAATTAAAAATATGAAACCGTAATTTATGAAATAAAGAACAGTTATGATCTAAAGGATAAAAATTTACAAAAAAAAAAAAAAAAAAGCTAATATTTATTGTTTACTTTATAAAATTTCTTTCAATGTAAGTTGTTTCGTTTTTTATGTGATAATACATTTTCTTAATTCTATAACAGACATAATTCTTGTTCAGTTACAAGTTGTGTCAAGTCAATTTGCTGTTGTTGTTTTAATACCTCTGTCTTCGCTTCGGATTTAATGATAGATTTGATTAAATCATATCAAAGACGGCAGTACAGAGAGAAATACACATTTAGTAGGAATTATAAGCCAAATAAAATAAAAAAAATCTCCCTGAAGATAAGGATAGTGCTGCAGATCAACTCCAATTCAATTTCGTGCCGCCAACTTAAATAAAAAAGTTTAGATAAGAAACGTTAAGTTTAGATAAACAAGGAGATGCCTTTCCATTTTTGTATCATTCATTTTTGTTTAATGGACTCGAAACACACTTTCGCTTTTTAGATCCTTTACATAGTAGTAAATATACTATATCAGAAATTCTATTTGACATAATCGAAAGTTCAAGCTTACTTTTATAAAATTGCTCTAACAGTCTGCAAAAAATAATAAGCCGAAACCAATTTGAAGATTAAGGAAGAGCGCAATCTGCAACATTAACTGAATTAGATAATTTTAGCTTAGCTTATACCGTCCGTTATACATTAAACGCGCATTCGTAAACGTTTTTTGCGTAAATGCACACGGATATTCACAGCCTAAAGGTCTTACGCGCATGCGTCAATGCAACGCATGCGCAGAAAGTTTGTACCTTTGAGGTCCAGATTACGGGTGTCCGAATTAACGACTTTTTTTGACTGTAATACTACAGCAAACTTGTGAACCTCTTTTCAAATCATGTGTTTATATTTATGATTTAGTCAGAAAGTGGAAATCAAATTCTTTTTGTGTGTATGTGTTGTATTATTTTATTTCTAGGTAATTATTTTCTGAAAAAAAAAATTCATTCAGTAACATATATATTTTTATTTTTCAAAATGATCATCTAATTATTCTAAAACACAGAAAAGCAAATGAATTTAATACACAAATACAGTGAATTTTCACACATTTTTTTAATGATTTTAATTTTTTCTATGAATTAAAATATTAATTTTAAAATACAAACATGACTGGCGTCACATTAGAATAAGGTTTAATTATCGTCTGCAGTATTAAAAATATTCTTTCCTTTAAAAAGTCGCTGAAAAATAAACAATGGATCGAAGGCTATATTTTGTGCTGTCCAAAGATAAGTACTCTTATTCAATTATTAAAAAAAAATGTGAAAAAACATGGTTTTAATATTTCTACATGTAAAATAAGTGACATAATTAATATGAAAGGAAAGAAATGTCAAAGTTTACATCTGACTGAGAAAAAGGGCAAGAAATGCTTACCCAACCAAAGGTACATACAGGATCTTATTAAATCTAAAGTTGCATCTCATGCTTTAAAGGAAATCCAGCCACCCCCAAAAGCTATTTCAAAATATTTAAATATATTTGTAGGAACTGTGAACAAAAATTATAAAAATCTGACTTTAAAAGCTAATCATAACAAAAAAAGTGTGATGTTCATTGCCTAATGCTGAAATATTTTTCTCAGCATAAGACAAGTTGCAGATTGCTATATGAAAATTATTTGGCAGGTGAAAAATGGAAATATATAGTTACAATTGATGAGACTTGGATGTACCTATCTGGTTTTGAAATAGAAAAAGATCAATTTATTACTGAAAAAGAGAAGAAAAAGACTTAATATGCTGATTCAAAGAAAACAAGGAAAGTTTTTCTAAAGGTTTTTTGGCTATTACTAGATTTTCTTGTAATGGAAAACTTAAAATAAGGAAATTAGAAAAAAAATGTCAAAATTAGTTCAGATTACTATCAGAAATATGTTTTAACACCTATTTTTAAAGAAAACAATTTCATCTTTTAATCCAAACAATCTTTACTGTGTTAAGTTTAATCAGGATAAGGCTCCAAGCCATACCTCTAAATCTACTGCTCTATTTTTAAAAAAATGAGAAATGAAACCATAATTGAAACTATTCTCTTTAAATGCATCCCACCCAAGTTCCTTGATGTGTCTTCTATGGATTACTGTGTATTTGGTCTTTTAAAACAAGCTCTTTATAAGCAGCATCCCAAAACATTGGATGGACTGGAAGATTTTGAGGGAGGACTGGAATAAAATTAACCTTGGTGTGTTAGAAAAGGACTTTTATTTAGGAAATCAAGATGTAATATGATAGTTCAACAAAAGGACTATCAGTCTAAACATTAGAAAATAAAATTCAAATATTTTTATATATAAAACTTTGCAAAATTGTTACAAAAATGTGTGAAAAACGTCTGTAAAATAGTGGGGAAACATATTTCTGTGCAATTTTATATCAACTTTTATTTAGAAACATTTGTTACCTAAATATAATTCATCATTTTTTTTAAAAATTATTGCATTTGATTAAAAAAATTATTTAAGCCAGCATATGCAATAATCAAATTATATTTTTTTAATTATTGCATATGTTGGATAACAAGCTTTAATCCTGTAGTTTATAACTTGTTATCTTAATATCTTTGTTGCTGTATGCCTTGAAAACCCTTTACACATCTAATGCAAACCTTGTATGATTATTAACTTTGAAAATTAGGCTGTTTTATAACTGTACAGAAATTTTATTATATTGAATATTATTAATATATTTAAGTAAGCATTACATATGAGCAGTTGCTATGGAACTTATGTGTAATGTTGATATTTTAGTCAAAAACTGAAATCATTTATGTTCATCATTTTAAAAGCACAGTATGTTTTAAAGGACTAAATTGAGAATAAATATGTATAAAGTGTTAAAATAGAAGATTAGTTTTAGTTATTAATATATAATTTTATGTTTTCAAGTTTACCGATGCACTCTATGCAGTTACAGTTATTGTGTGTTAATTATATTTTGTAATATTTAGTTATCTTCAAATTATTTGTATTATTTCGATTTACTTACTTAATTAATTTAATACTTGATTACAGAATGAAAGAACAGAAGTCAAACAGAAATGGGCATCCCGACTTCTTGGGAAGTTACGGAAAGACATAACACAAGAGTGCAGGGAAGATTTTGTATTAGGAATCACTGGGAAAAAAAGAGTTAGTTGTGTGCTGAGCAATCCTGATCAGAAGGGTAAAATGAGACGAATTGATTGTCTTCGACAAGCTGACAAGGTAGTGATTCATATGTATTATTTTATTCAAAATTTTTTAATGTTACAACAGATTATCTCAAAAGTACCTGACAATGATAAATTGATAAAAAAAAGTATCTGCTTTAAAAGCATGTTGAATTGAAAATTTTAAATGCACTTTTCTCAGTTTTATGTCTTTAATTACACTGAATTACACAGCCAAGAAAAATCAAAGGAAGAACTCTAAAAACTCATATAACTTGAATAGTTTTGTAACTAAGACCATGGAACTTGCACAAGATCTTTATTTTATGATGTTTGACATACAAGCTTCAAAACTGCCTATTTCTGCAATAACTAGAAAATATGGTATAAAGTGGGGTAAGGAAAAGTTAATATTACAGCCTTTTAAAGACATATAGAAAAAATTAATATGGTATGTGGTTATCCCTGACAGAAATGCCATTTTTGTACTGATTATCTGTGCTATGTATTAAATTTTTTCAAGAATTCCTGAAAAAGGTCCCCTGAAATGTATTGGACATAAAACTAGTCTGAAATTAAATTTTACTTAATTTGAAAACATGAAGAGTGTTGTAAAATTAATTCTACATTTACAACTTAATTCTACATTAATAGCATCTTTATGGAATAACCAAGAAAATTCATAAAATTAATTTCTGCTAAAATATCACTTTTATATGCTTAATTCTTAATATGGCAGAAGCTAGGAAATCTGGATGTTAAAATAGGAGAATCAGGAAGTTAAAACTTCCTGATTAAACTTTTTGAATATCTACCATTTTAGAATAATTTTCCTTTCTGATCTTTATCAGTTTAAATGCATGCTATGCCCAGAATTTAATATAAGAATGGATTTTTTTGTCCCTTCTTTGTTAAGTTTTAGAAATTGAGGGGAAAAAAGCTAAATGTAAAATAAGAATCAATAGGAAATCAAAAAAATTTAGTTCACTTTTCTTCATCACGCATTCTAGTAATGCATGCATAAATAACAACTTTTAAAATTACTTGAATGTTTTTGACTGAAAAATTATTTTGAGTATTTATTTATTTGAAGAATTACTTTTCTGCTGCAATTTTTAAATTATGAAGCGTAACTTTTTCTTTCAACCTAATATATCTGTAAACATTAAGCACTATTAATTTTAAAACAATTCATAAAGTTTTGTTCTTGTTATCTTTAATTGTGTAATTAATTCAATTAATTGTAATTCTTGTAATCACTTTCCAAGTAACAATTTGTAGTTTATGGTTGCTAATTCATCTCATATTGTAGGTTTGGCGGTTAGATCTTGTTATGGTGATATTGTTCAAAGCAATTCCACTAGAAAGCACTGATGGAGAGCGTTTAGAGAAGTCACCAGAGTGCCTCCATCCTAATCTTTGTGTTAATCCATACCACATCAATGTCTCCGTCCGAGAACTTGACTTGTATTTGGCCAATTTTATATTAAGCCATGGTGAGTATTTCTTCCCTTCCCCTAAAAAATTAATTTTTAATATAAATGTGGATAATTTAGTGAAATTTCTGAAATACACCATGTATAATATTATTACGTTTTTAAGATTATTTTATTATTTCAGTGAAGATAATTTAGTGATGAACGTAAAGAGGGTAATTTAATGAATTTAGCAGTAATCTACTGTTTGATCATTTGAAGATAAATTTGAGATATTTCATAAAATATAAACATGGTATCAAATGTAGTGTGTTTCAGTATATAGCATTATTTGTGTGCACTTTGTGTGTTGTTACTATTTGTGGTACGCTATGACAGTAATTAATTAATTTGATGGAAGACTGGGAGCAGCAATTATGAAAATACCATAACTGTTACAAATAAATGAATGAAGCAATTTCATCATCTGGTTGTACATCTAAACAGAAGGTCACTTTAATGCAATAGATCAGTTTTAATTTTTAACTTAATTATACCATGAAAAAGAAAAACTGTATACTATACACATAAAAATAAAAAATGGATTCCAGACTTAGAAACCCAGTAAAGTAATAGTTGTTTTCAGAAACATGAAGTCTGAATCGTCATATAGTTAATCTGCTCTTTTGAATAAAAATTTGGTGACTTTTGATGAAATATTTATTTGGTGATAATAAAGGCAATAATCAATAGAATATGAAAGCTTGCTTCATTACTGATTTGTTGTAAATAAGGTCTAAATATTGTCAGTAATTGCCAAATTGCATCATACTTCCAGATGAAGGTTAATTTTGTAGATAAATGAATATAGTATGTAAAATCGATTATTTTTGTAAAGAAAATAATCTGCGGCTATTTTAAAGAATATAGAATTTGCTGAGAAGTATAATTATTTTGTATTCTTGTTCATTAGATTTTATCTGTTATTACTCCATTTTAAATACAGTAGGGTTTATCAAAGAAACATTGCCATGATGTAACCAGTGATGAATTATAAGGACCCCCATGAGTCCTTCATTTAATTTATCTTAAATTTCCAACGAATTTCATATTTTTATTTGCTTTAAATAAATTAATTAATTCTGTGTTAAAAATCAATTTGAAGAATTAATGATTAATAAATTTCATATTACTAAGGAAAATTACCGAACTACTTCATGATATCTTTATCAAAGTAATTATAAAAATAAAAAATTAAAATGATGGAGAGTTCATTGAGGAAGAATTAAAAGCAATTTTTAATGTTTGTTATGCAGAGATATGGAACAATGAAGAACTAATATGCCCATGGCAGAAAGAGATAAAGAACAGTTTAAATTTCATGTCAGTTAAATTTAAAAAAAATGTCATGTTATCAATGATATTTAATTAATTAGGTAACAATAATTAATTAAATATCATGTTCTTCATAAACCATAAAATTCAATTCAAGAGCAATATCACTATTTTAAATTGAGCATATCTTTAGAATTTCTGATACACAGTCTAGCGCCCTGGAGATAAAAATGTTTTTTCTGTAGATGTTGCCATTACTTGCTTTGAAATCCTTGAGTTTGTTAATTAGAAATTCGTTAAAGTTTTACAAAATATGAAATTGATATTGAAACAAATTCCAAATTTGGACTTTCAGATGCCCAATATTCTCAGTAGGATTATGTCATTCAAAATTTGATGGCTCTAGGTACCATTGTTTTATCACAATGCAAGAAACATACATACATTTATGCAGATTCTTCATTGTTTAATTTCTTCAAATATAATATTTGGTGGCAACAGTTTGAAAAGTGATTTAGCCTTTTTATTGCAAAATGCGAAAATGGAAACAGTAGTTCCTCAGGGACAAAGCCCCTTTGGACTGAAAATGTAAAATGGCTTTAACAGAAAAGCTGTGTACTAATTTTCTAAAAGTATAAAAGAACCTATAGTCATTATGGAGACTGTTGTTATCAGCTAGTTGCACTTAAACTGAACAAGCTTTCACCTTGATGATCAGTATTTCCGCAAGAAGATTCTTTGACTGTAAAACATATTTTAGATTTAATAACTGTTCCTTTAAATGGGAAAGCCATTAACAGAATTTAATTCTAAATTTTATGTAGAAATGAAATGCCTTAGAATCTAATAGAAAATCAACTAACGTGAAAGAAGAATATGGGATAATTTCAGACATAAATTGTTTGGCATAATTAAATTTATTTTTTATTTTATGTGATTTTTTAATTTAAAATTTGTTTTTCAATGTGTAATTATTTGTATTTTCAGTTTTTGTAAAAAGTCAAGTATTTAATGTTTTGTTTGTGTACTTGATGTTTTGTTTTAAATTTTCATAACTCATTCCTGATTATAATGAAACATTTTATATATTTTCTCATTCATTATCAGATTAAATTTATTTTTCTAAATACAGATTAAGTTAAGTTTTGATAAACAAAATGAAGTTTTAAATTTTTAGAATTTAATAAACCATATTATAAGTTTATGTAAATAAAATCCATGTAACAGCTGAATTAATTATGTGTGATCTAGAATAAATATTTTTTGTCTGTCTGTTATCAGTGTTATTTTTCAATATTTTGCATTATGAATGTCACTGGATTTAAAAGTTTTTTTTTTTTTCTTTTTTAAATTAGATATGTTCAATCTTTTCTCCTAAATTATTTGTAACTGCTTTTCATTAGGAAAAGGTATTCTCACCCCCACTCCTCTCTTTTTCCCCCTACTTTGCTCACATGGTGTTGTGTCTATTTTAGATTACAAGAGATGGAGAGTATCCAATTTGCCACAGTTGCTAAAAATAACTTCTTCCCTTACTTTTCATGTACATAAAGTAGAGGTTAAACATTGCAATTTCTGAGTATGTTTTTTTCCTCAAGGAAACATCTTTGACTTTAACATTGTGATTTCTTAAAGTAGAATTTATGATTTGCCATTTTTCTTTTTTGTGGTTTCGTTTTAATATGAATAAAGGTTTAAAAAAATCAGCTTTTTAATATGCAGAGTTATTTTGTTTTTTATAAAGTTAAATTGCATTTCAAGTATTTAATTTATAAGTTAGGTTAAAGAGGTGTATTTTAAGGTTTAAAAAAACACTTTATTTTTAATTTGTTAATATAATCCTATTGTTCATGTAACAGCTTTATGGCATTTTAATAACATTGCATATAGGAGAATATGTTGTAGGAGTAAAACATTTAGAATAATGTGAACTTTCTTTCTTTTTTAATATATAAAACATTATATGAAAAAATATAGAGAATTCCATTTAGTAAATAGAGTGCTCTATTTACTGAACATTCTCATATATAAATATTAATTAATTTATTTTCTACACTTTTCATATTTTTGAAATATCTTCTCTGTTTCAGAATCTTTAAGTGGTATTAGAGATGGTTTATGTGATAACAGCAAAGAAGATGAAAGAGGTGAGCTGGCTAAATTTCATTTTCACATCAAATTTTAAAAGAACTTGTTTCTTGAGCACTTTTAGAAGTATACAATGTATACTTTGCAGCTAATATATAATATGATGTTTCATTAGTAAGAGGCATGTGTCCTGTGCAAATGCTTTTAAAATTATCAAATCTATGTATATTTACTTTCGCAAATTTTTTTTCTTGGCACAATTTACTTTAGAAGAGAGAGTTTTTTGGCCTCTTATACTGGCCTGGCATACTAACAAAATATTTTGTGATGTTCAGGGGCTTTTCCCATTGACAACATTCCAAATGGATCTGACTCAGTTTTGGTGTCACACTAACCAGCTGGCAAAACATTAGAAAAGTTCTTTCAGCATTTTATTCACTGTCACCACTTGTTTCTGTATTATGTTATTAAAAACTGTTATTGGTTTTAACAGCTAAAAATTTGTTGTTTTCAAATGATTTCTCGAAGAAAAGCATTTTTAAAGTATCTTATGGAATTCATTGTGATTAATGGCATGTCTTTTGCATAAAGAATTTAAAATGTTTCCATTTAGTTGTAAACATTATGAAAGAAATACAGTGTCAAAATATTAAAATGAATCAAGAATCAAACCTAAGTAACTGCATCTGTAATTTTATTTTATGAAGGATAAAATAGGACAGTTTATATTTCAAACCTGTGTCTTTCAAGTGCTTTAATATTGCAAACCACATTGTTGTAATTTATTGCAACTGGCATCCATATAATTGCTCTGAAAAAGAAATGGGAAAGAGTTAGAAGTTCTGGATGGTAATAATGTAATAATAATATAATAAGAAATAGATATTTATATTTATGAATAATAAATTAAGCATTGTAGATAAATATATTTGTCTGCCTAGTAAAGCAACAACAAAAGCATCAAATCTCTTTTATTATCTTTTGACTATCTGGATTTCCCTAAATCATTTTTGAGAACCACTGTTTTAAAATATGTAGTAAGTAATCACTTATAAAAATTAAAAATCATTACAAATGTGAAAATATGTAAGACAAGCTTAACATCATCAGAATCAATGTAAATTTCAAGTTATACACTGGCCGGAAAACTAAAGGAACAATCATAAAATTTCACGTAACTTGAATGATTTTTTTAGCTAAGAGCATGGAACTTGCACAGTATCTATTTTTTCATGCTTGACATATGTTCAAAATGCAAAATTGCCAATTGCTATGAAAATTAAATTTAAATAAGAACATAGGAAATGTGATATAAGGTGGAGGAGTGAGAAGGTGGTGTTGCAACTTATATAATATTAAGAAATATTGAGTCATCCAAAAAGTTATTTGTTTTTTTCAAACAAAAGAACATTTTCATGAAAAAATGCTAGTCTGACTGCTCAGAAAATTTGTATTGTATGGACAAAGTTATGTTTCTGATGGCATAGTTTGTAGGTGGTTTTAGAAATTTAAGCACAGAAATTTCCTAAAAATGGTACCTGCTCTGAATGACTATTCTCTGTAAACAAGAACCTATTAAAAGAAGCTGTTGCTAAAAATCCACATAATGCAGTTCAGGAATTATTGGACACACTAAATATTCTGAAAAGTAGAATACATGATTATTTAAAAAACAATGTTGGGTACACAAGCTGGTACAATGTATGGATACTCCATACCTTAACAGAACAGAACATGCTTGTTCAAGTTTCAACATATGATTCTTTGCTGAAAAGAAATAAAAAAGCTTCTTTTTAAAACCACTCATTACTGGAAATGAGAGGTGGATGGTATACAGTGATATTATAAAGAAAAGACTAGGGGATAAGGCAAAAGAACCTGTTTTATTACCATCAAGATGGAGGGCTTCATTCCAAAAAAATAAGGATTTATGTAGTGGTAGAACTACAAAAGAAATGTATATTATGAATTTTTGTCACTAAATTAGACAATGAATTCAGAAAAATACTCTTCCCAAGTAGCAGTTTTAAAAGCAGAAATGAAGCAAAGCTCCCAAAACTGATCAATTTTGGGGGTTTTTTGTCTTCCGTCGTGACAATGCTCAGTCCTTATTTCAGTGAATATCTTATAAAGATTAATTAAGTATGGTTTGGTTCCCCACCCCACCCATATTCAATAGATCTTGCCCACTTTGATTTTCATCTCTTCAGATAAGTTTTAAAATTCTCTGGGTGGCCTAGAGGTAATTTCTTTGGACATTATCAAAAACAGCATCTTGATGATTTTTTTACGAATAACACAATGACATTTTTAATAAAGGAATTTTCAAGCTGCTAGAGAGCTGGGGAAAAGTCACAGAACAAAATTATGCTTATGTGATTCCGTGAAATTTTCTTATGTTTTTGTACTGCTTCATTTTTATTTTTCTTTATTGAGTAACAGAACCATCTGGATGATCCGATGCATAGAAAAAAATTTAAAAATTAAAAATTTGTGCTTGCTTTTAACTGAAACACAAGCTTTGTCAGTTTCAGATTAGTAATTTTCCATGCTGTGTATTAGGTAACCCAAGAGTTCCTGCAGTAATAAAGTGTATTCTCGATGAGTAGTGCCCTAAATTTCTGGAGAGTGAGCTTTATGTGGGGGGGGGCTGCAGTATCAGCATCTTAATGCATCCCAAACATGTTCTGTCTAATCTAAATCCGTAGAACACATGTCCATCTGCTGGATTATTTTGCCGTCAAGATAATCACTAGTGCAACATGATGGGGATGAGCGTTATCGTCAATTAGAGGAAACTTTTATCACTTACACCCCTAAACAATTTGACATAAGTATCAAGAACCTTATATTTTAGCATTCATAGTTGCACTAATAAAAATATATAAGTTAATGCTGTAGTTCAAAATTATACTTGCCCATACCATGATTCATAACCTTTGTATGGATGTCTCATTGAATGTGTTTAAGCTTCTTGCATTTGTTCTGCTCTCTCCAGATTGCAGCATGTCTGAAATTGCTCTCCTCACAAACACGAGAATCATCAGTATAGTGAACTTGGCTACAGTTCGTAGTACTCCAGCTGCAATGATTTCTGATCTCTGCAAATGGGAATATTTTGCAGCCAGGTTAGTTGGATAAAAGAGGGCTGCATGGAAGCATACAGTATGTCTGTCATGATATGTCTGGATAGTTGAATTCCTGTAGCTGCAGCAAACTCCTTTGCAATCTAAACTGACATCATTTGCCTATTTCTTTTAGCAATTATTGCCAAATAGTAGTCCTGAGAGCCTGTTATGATATGTTTTCAACCTTGACCTAGACCTTGGTTGTCAGCATTCCGTGTATGATACAGTCAAAAGTCTTTAATCCGGACATCCATAATCCGGAATGATCTATAATCTGGACCTCAAAGCTACAAACTTTCTGCGCATGTGTGAACACATAATGTGTATACGCATGCGCATAATATCTTTATGCATGCGCATATGCATTTACGCATGCGCGTTTAATGTATAACGTATGGTATAAGCTAAGCTAAAATTATCTAATTATATATTTCAGTTAATGTTTCAGATTGCGTTGTTCCTTAATCTTCTAAAATAGATCCGGCTTATTATTTTTTGTAGACTGTTAGAGCAATTTTATAAAAGTAAGCTTGAACTTTATTGATTATGTCAAAAAGAATTTCCGATTCTTGAGCTGCCAAAGGATCTACAAAGCAAAAGCATGTTTCAATGTCCATCAAACAAAAAGTGGAATTGCTGCAAAAAAATGGATTCAGAATGGTTAGAGAAACAAAGGCTGCCTTTGTTTCTCTAACCATTCCGAAATCTGTTTATCAATTTCACGCTGCTCTGCGGGGAGGGGGATGTCGCAGCGCACTATGAACTGGAAGTTGATCTGTCAGCACTATCCTTATCTTCAGGGCAGATGTTTTTATTTTATTTGGCTTATTATTCCATACTAAATGTAGTATTTCATCTCAATAAACTCCGTCTTTGATATGATTTAAATCAAATTCCTCGTCATTATAAATATCACGAATACACATCAAATAGTTTTCTGGTTGCAAATTTCTAATTTCAACTATGTGTAATGTATGCTATACGCATGCGTGTGTTGAAAGAAATGTTTAATAAAGCAAACAAAAAAGTATTAAGCTTTTTTTTTTTTTTTTTTTTTTTTTTTTTTTGTTTTTTTTTTTGTAAATTTTGATACCCTTTAGATCATAATTGCTCTTTATTTCATAAATTACAGTTTCATATTTTTAATTTTATAATTTCTGCATGCCATTTTACCAGATTTAAACTGATGATCTATAATCTGGAAAAACCTATAATCCGGAATCGCCAAAGTCCCAACGAGTCCGGATTAAAGACTTTTGACTGTATTTTTTACTACTTATAGATCTTTGCAGACCTGGGTCAGTACCAATCTTGCTTCCTTCTTCCCATTCTCATGCCATTTATTATAATCCCAACAGATCTCTTCTCAGTGGCATTTTTGCACATTCCATATGTGAAATTTTTATCCAGTTGATGCAATCCTTGAAATTAGAATCTGAAGCTCCTTATACTGCTTTTCACATGTGCCAAGATTTGAATTTTTCTGGGTGCAAAAAATTTCCTTTTTTCTGTGTAGAAAAGATAAATGGAATCCCTTTGGACTTGTGATAATGTTTACCTTGAGCTACATACCAGCCACCTTTCATTAGCCTTCATATAATAGAATTAACATGAAGAAGCTTTTTGTGGTTGTTCCTTTAATTTTTCCCACCAATGTACTTGTTATATCAAAATACTAGTAATATTAATGTGTGCAGTTTTCTAGGTTGAAGTACGTTAATCATATTTTCATCTGTAATTGGCTCTGAAAAATATGAATTTTCTTTCTTATAGTTTGTATATAAAAAATCATAATCTGAAGTGGCAAGTTTAATATGCAAGCAAATAAACCTTCAGCAATATGATTTATAACCTGAGTAGCTGAGAATAATATTTTACGTAACATGCAAAAATGTCATATTTCTAGTTACTTGCATTGTTATCAGCAAAATTATTTTATCTTAAAATTATGTAACATTTCTATACATAATTGATAGTGTATATTTGGAAAATGTTTGGAATATCGTAACATAATAAGTCCATTTGGCTTTGCTGTAGCAGTCGGGCATAAATGTTTCACTATGTCAGTTAAAAGCTAATGAAGAATTGTGTGAATTTACTTCCCATTTGAGTGATAGAAGGGAATCATATACTAATAGTTTTTTAATCCTTGATTATTATGAAAATAAAGTGTCAAAATAAATAACTCTAGCAGAGTAAATTATAAATAGTGCTATCGAGAGGGGGGGAAAAGATCTGTAGTTGTAACTAAAATATCACACTTTATGTATTGTATTGCTTTGCTTTAATAATATGTAAAACTGATTTAGAAGTTGTAAATTCATATTTTCTAATTTTTTGTATCATGGTTTGTAAATTGAGCAGAAGAACTAATATTTACTTAATTGATGAAATGAATAATGATGATGTATGTTAAGATGGTGGGGAAAGTTTATATTTGATAAGCAAATTTATGTAAAAACACAGGCAGAAGGAATTGAAAGAACTACAAAAATTCTGTTTTAACTTCTGTTCAAGAACTTTAGTTAATTAATAAGAGCAAGAATTCTGTTGGAAAAATAGTTATCCCTTTTTACTGAGCTGTATATTGTGAGGCGTGGGAAATGGACTTGAACTAACAATGAGTATGTCCAACCCATGACCTTCAGTATCTATTGAGTAAAACCTTCCTTGTACAGTTGACTAGTGAACAAATGGGCGAGTACATGTAATGTTGAATATGATTGCTGTTTCATTCTTATTTCACACCGAAACATATTTGGCAAATTGGAAGTTTAGGTTACAGTCAGCCGCAAAATGTATTTAGATATGCTTTTATAATTTGCACCTTCTTCAGAAAGAGTTACAGCAATTATGAATATTTCCTGCTCTTGGTGCTCCTTTTTGAAACCTTGTATGTTTGCAAGCAGCCTTTTTTTTTATAAGCCATATAAAGTAATATAAGTGCAAAATTTAATGAAAGCACCCTTCACAATCACAGCAACATCAATCAAATGAGACTAGACATGCAGGCACTCAAAAACAAAATTCAGTTCTCACATTAAAAATTTCATATTCATATATTTTTGTAATAAATTTCCTTTAAAAGTAAAAAATAAAGTACTTTAAAAATAAAGTGTAATTTTATCAGATACAGGAGTAATGTAGGTTATACTTTGATCATTAAAAATTTTAAACTCTGTCTTTGGTCCCTCCCCAGTACTGCAACCTATGGTACAATTTTGTTGGGTAATGCACCACACAATCTCTCAAAGGTTGAACAGCTAGATTCTACACAATGTGCAAAATAATTGATGAGGCTATAGCTAGTTACATCACTCATAAATGGTAAAAAATGAAATAGGAAGGGCTTTTGAAATTTAATTTGAAGATCTCATGTCCTGGTAGATCATGAATTATCTAAAAAGGACATGTAAAAGTGATCATATAACTTACTTCATCAGCAATTCATCTTCATTTACTCTGATAATCTGAGATTTACTTTTTTAATTCAATAAAACTTTTAGTACTTTTCCAAATTATTTCTTTCTTACCTATATCATAACCTATCATCATTTTTCATAAAAAAATTAATTTGTTATCCATTTTAAACAACTTTTACCATTAAATTTAATTATATTGCTGAATATTTTTCATGTTTATTCAGTTTGTTTAATACTCTCAATGTTCGCCAAAGTTTATTATTATTATCAGTATAAAATTGTCCTTTATGCTTTCTTGAATTTTAATTAAATAATTTTACATAGTCAATAGTTTATATGTGTGTTATACTGCACGCTTCTTGCTTTATGAATCTGTGAAAACAATTTGCTGATTTATTTTAATTTCGAGTTTGATTAATATTTCAATTTGATACTATAAATACTGTAAAATATATATTAAAATGACATTTAACAGTAATTTTCTAAAATTCAATACTTTCAATAAATACATTTGAAAAAAAAAAAAAAAAAAAAAAAAACAATGCAAGTAACTTAAATTTTGAAATTAGCATGTTGTAGATTTAAAAATTAATAGTACTGAGAAAATTAGTACATATGGTTACCATACATGAATACAACATTTTAAACATATTTCCAAATAGGCAATTTACTAGATGCAAGCTGTGATCACTATAATAGGCCAGTAGTGGAACAAAACATTATCAAAACAAAAAAATGAAGAGCATTTTATTCATTAGTGCAAACCTTTACTTTTAAAATAATTTATTTGATTAATAAGTATAATTAATTTTGAAGAGGAAATACTCCAAAATATTCAAGATGTTGAATGCAGAGATGTTAAAAAAAATTAAGGAAAGGGCTCTAGAACAAATTTGAGTGTGTTTTATGAAAGGCCATATTATAGTGAATGTAGTTAGGATCAAATCTTTATATCACATCATTAAATGAACAATATATAAAACTAATTATTGGCTCTAACTAGCGTAGTGGGTTAAGACCAGCAAGATCCTGATTCTGTCTGAGGAGGAAATTTTGCCCAGATATTTCATCTTTAGATTCCATTCTAAAATTAGTTTTCGAGGATCTAGTTTATTTTATGCTTTTCAACGGAGAGGGAAATATAACATGCTCGTGTAATACATATTGTGTTTATTTGAAGAGGGTTGATTATAATGGCTTTAAAAATTTTCAATTTCAGAGTATATAAGTATTCCCCATAAAAATTTTAAAAGTAGAGAGTTATGATTTAGTTAATATCATTACCAATCTTTCACAGTTATCTTCATTTCTGTAATATCTCCAGTCCATAACTGGTGTTAATTATTGTAGTTTGCGTTTTTAATATATGCACAAAAAGAGCAAACTGAAATTTCAGGGTGGTCTTTTTGTTTTGCAGAATCAGATATCGTCTTTGCCTCTGGTGTTTTTACATCTGCAGAACTGTATAGGTTATCCAAAGGTGAGCAAAACATATATTAATACCAGTTCTGGATTGGATATATTCATTCTAATAATTATGTCTTATATCACTTATCTCATTTAATCTACAATATGTTTCAGGATGTTTGCGTGGATATATATGTTTTCGCAATCATGATGGTTGTTTGAAAATAGCCAAATTTAATCAGATTATTCTTTAAATAAATTTATGCCAGTTTTACATGTTTAAAATTAATTTCATTATTTAAAAGAAAATTAGGAAACAGTTTGAAATTGTATTTAAAATGCACATATTTAGGTGTGACATTTTAATTTACAGCAGCTTTTCACAACACAAAGTGAAGAAAACGATCTAATAATGAGGAATGTTGCAAGCTGAATGTTTTATGCATTTTCAGTAAAGCTGTTTCTGTTAAATTGCTAACGAACACTTTTATTATTGTACTTTAATGGCTATTTCAAATTATTAGTCATAGAAAAAGTTTCAAATTCTTTGATAGTAACAGTATATTTTAATTCAATATTAAATGATTTTTTAACATGTAAGATCACACAAAATCAAAGAAAATGTATCAGTTTTTTAATAAAATCAAGCCCAAAGTTTTCAAAGTACATGAGATTTCCCTGGAAATATATAAATAATTTTTTAATACATTTGGAAAATAGTAATAAAAATGACTGTTGTGAAAGTTAAATTTTTAAAGGGGTCTGTAATCTTTCATTCAACAAAATGTTATACATGAATGTAATTAAAACTATAAATGACATCTAGTTTAATTGAATACTGTGTTTACTTGTAAAATATTTTAAGACATTATTAAATAAATTATTCAATTAAGCATTTATTATAGTAAATAAGCAGACAAAAATGGTGACTGATTTTCAAACTATGAATTTGAGTTCAAATAATATAAATTTTGCGTTTGAAGTGATCCGAAAGTTATTATTTCTAATTGTCATCATTTGTAATAATTATTATATTTTTCATTATAGATTGACTTCCATTATACTCATATTTTCTTAGCATGGAAAAATAATTTTTTTATTCATATTCAATCATACTTCTTCCATTATTTATCAACTCCCATATTTTATCAATCATTTTGTGGATTGCATTCTTTAGTAACATTTTTCTAACATTACTGAGCTTGTCACAAACAGTTTTAACCTTGTGTTTCTGTCTATTTTATTCTAAAACTACCTTTATCTAATAATTTTTTTGTAAGTATATATTTTTTTTAAATCCTGCAGTATTCCTTGCTTTTTCTTTGTAAAAGAAAATTGTTTGGCTTCTAAAAATTTCTGTTAGTTGCAGCTATTAATTTTATGCAATAACTAAATGTATTAAACTGTTTTATACATATATGAAAAAGAAATTTAGTTATTATGAAGTTAATTTAACAAAGATTGTAAATTGTGCATGAATATAAAAATAATGGTGAAAACAAAATTATTAACATATGTAAATGTTGCTTTCCCAATTTAGAGAAAAAATATAAATTTTTAGGCTTGAGATTGTATCGTTTGTGGAAATATTTTATATTAAAAGAATATTTTATAATTTTAAATGCATATGCATTTTTTATATTATTTTCAGAAACTGAAATGTCCAGTCACTTTTGTGAAACGCTATAGTTGTTTAGTATTATTTATTTAAGTGTACTGCATCGTAGATAGCAACCAGTGAGAAATTAAGTGTGTTTCTGAATAATGAAATGACTCTGTTAGGTATATTAGATATCAATGAAGAAAATGTATGAGATAGCAAAATAATAATTATCATAGAATGATTTGAACTAAAATAAAATTAATTTCCTAAAAATTCAAATAAATAAATGTGCTTGAAAATTTGTATTAATTATCAGACAATAGTTAGTATAAGTGGTTACCATAATTGTGATCTTTATTATTCTGTGTGCTAATTATGAATATAGTTTTTATCAAAATTCTTTTCTGTTTTCTAAACATATACTGTCCTTTTTATCTGTTAATACTTTTCCACTGTATAAATATGTAGCAAGGTTATATTGCACATATTTTGAGATCTGTTAGGTAAAGTATTGCTAATTATGAATATAGTTTTTATCAAAATTCTTTTCTATTTTCTAAACATATACTGTCCTTTTTATCTGTTAATACTTTTCCACTGTATAAATATGTAGCAAGGTTATATTGCACATATTTTGAGATCTGTTAGGTAAAGTATTGCATTTATGGTTAATATTGGATGTAATGTTATTATTTTTGCTAGCATTCATCTTTTTTTTTTTTTTTTTTTTTTTTTCCCTCATGCAGCATCTATTTTGCAAACAACAAGTAATTGTCAACCTGCACTAAACATGATCAAGATTGAATCTCCTACATACTACTGCAACAGCTACTCATCCCCCCCAGATCATAGAGGGTTACCATCTGGCGCTGGTCCTCCTCTTGCCTTGCATCCTCATAACAATCACGGTACGCCACATCCTCCTAGTCCTACCGAAGAACCCCACAGCAAGCGTCTGCGTAAAATGTCATCTGGCGAAGATGATGTAGATAAGGTCCATAATGACATTAGCAGTTTTTATGGTCAGAGTCCAGCTCAGCTGCACAGCCAAGCTTCTTGGAGTAGTGATATTGACCAAGGTAATAAATCTTTCTCTTTTAAATGCTGCTATTATATTTTTATGGTAACGTTACAAAGATTGAGTAATAATTTTCATTCTGTCACGAATTATGATGTATAATTGATTTTATATCTCAGTAACAGGAGAAATTTTAAAAAAAATTTCCAGATAATTGAATAGTTTGTTGTTTGCTTTGATCTGCAGTTCAAAGTAGGTGGTGCTTTTCAAGGGAAAGCAAGGAACATGTGTTTAACATAAAGCAAGGAAATGCTTCTTTGCTTTATGTTTAACACCACTATGCTGTACTTTATGTACACTCAGCACATAAAAAAAGGGGGGGGCAGTTCTATATCTCCCATTCTGCTGGGCCAGCCAACAAAATTTAACTGTGTTTTTCATATCTCAAAAGCAAAACTTAGATATATATTAAATTTATATATAGCATTCTTCTAACATAGAGATTGACACAAAATCAGACTTTTTTTTAAATGCCATATTGATTGTTTTCCATATTTCGATTCTAGCCCAAATATTAAATTTTGTGAAATTTGGTTAGAAACTTAACGAGAAATTAAAAAATTTATCTAGGGTACTTTTTCAGTTTGCTCCAAGAATAATTCACTTGGCGAAATTCTTAATTTATGGTAACCTATTTTTCTTTCCCTTTCACTGTTCATGAGTGGGGTAAAAAAGGTGCATGGTTCATTCTTTGAAATAATTTAACAAAGTACGTAAACCATGAATGAACCACGTATATGAATTCATGTATCTTGGGAAATTTTGAATGAAGAACTTTTTTTTTTTTGTTGTTGTTGTTGCCAGTATGCCTAGAAACACATCTACTTTAAGAAGATGGTAAAAAATTTATAAGTAACAAAGAAAAAAAAAATTGGAACTTTATAAAAAATTACTAAAAAATACAAATTTTTAAAGTAAGTTAGAAAATATCTGCAAATTTTATTTGGACCTAAATTTTGAATTATGAAAGAATGAATCAAGTAAGTTTAGTAAGCAAAAGCTATACTATATAAATTCTAAGTCATGCTTTCGAAACATGAAAAATGCAAGTTAAGTTTCATCAGTTGGCCCAGTAGAACACAAGGTATAGAACTGCGTCCCCCTTTTCCCTTTGGTACAAGGTATACTTTTAGTCCATTGAAACCTGAGGTTTGAAGTCCAGACATTTCTCAAACATTGATTCAAAATAAAAATTTAATATTCATTCTTTGATTCAGGTAAAACACACAAGAACTATCTGCTCTAAGTCACCAGCCTAATAATTGCAATTGTATTCATTATATTTGCCTAATGATTGCAGTTGTATCAATTGAAATGATTCTGTCATGATATGCCATATCTGTCAATTCATGTGTGTTGAAATAAAAATTATTAATAACTGCTTTTTCTATTTTGATGATTTCCTTAAATCCCTTAACATCATATTTTGCATATCTGCTTTAAATTCACTAGTCTAGTGATTGTTTTGAGCTGGACCAAAGCTGAATTTATTCTGATGCTGTAAATTTGCTTCTGTTTTTGAGTTGTTAAGTCATTTAGATGTGTTTTGTTTTGCTGTTTAACAGTGCAGTATTTAATGATATCAATTTACCTTTAGTGAAACTTTAGCTCTGAAACTACACATAAACCCTAGATTTACTATTAATTTGAGTACTATTAATTTATTACTATTAATTTGATATATATTGCATGACTTTTGAGTGTCTGCAGTTTCAGAAAAATAAAACATTCATGTTTTAATAAATAAAACTTTTTCTTGAGAGTTTCATAGGAATTTCACTTAATGTATTTTTTCCCGTGTATTTTTTTAACAAAAGAAAGAAAGGGTGACTAAATGTCTTCATGCAACTGTGATGGCATCTTCTGATTTTATTAGCATTATCAGAGTAATGAAGAATAAAGATTTTAACTACATTTAAAACAATTCACCATCCTACTTGTTAATATAATTACATCATGAAATTAACAAATTATTTCTAAAATTTAGAAGCTGTAGTTTATTTATTAGTTTGTACTGAATTTGGTCAATCATATTCAAAATTAGGAAATATTGTATGCTAGAAATAAAAAACAATGATATTCACATAAGCAAATAAAATGAGTACTGAAGGTAGGTAATAAATTTACAGTTCATTTCATCTATTTATACAAATTGAATGGATATGTAAGACAGGAAATAATTACAATTAGATAAATTTCTTAGTATATCTCATGAAATATTTTCTCCACATTTTCAGTTAGTAATTTTATGCAGCTACTTGAGAAATGTTTAAATTGAATATTTTAACCATTTCTTTTTTATGTCTTATTATTATATTTTTACTTTTTTGAACAGGATCATCTTGTTTTGTCTTATTTGAATTTTGTATCCAATCATAGAATTTTTCTGGTTAAGACTCTCTAAACTTTCTCCTTTCTTCCATGTGCCACTGATGTCTTGTTGGATAAGAATGCTAAATAGTAGTCATTCATCCCAGATTTGTTCTAAGCAATTGAATGAGCTGACAGAATGGGGTCTTCATGATTTTCTCTATTATGATTATGAGCAATCATCCATTAGAATAATTTCAGCATGAAGGTATATCTCCTGAGGAACGTAGTCTCTGGCCATTTTGATATAATAAATAATCTAGCCTGTTTCCCCCCTCCTTTTCCTGTCTCATTTACTAAAAAATACAGTACCTGCTGCTTATTGAACTCACTGATTAATAAATTGAGCTGCTTATTACATTCAGTTTCTGGGTACAGAAACAAATATATACATTCAGGAGCAAATTTAACACAACACATTATGTTGAGTTTCTGAAAAACTAATGGACAGATTTTAATGAAATTTGATATGAATATACATTTATAACAAAGAAAGATATGTATCATTCAAAAGTCATTTTATCTACTCATGATTATCAGTAAAGCTCATAGTGCAGGAATGTCCAAAATCCATGTTGTGATATCGAACAGAAAATGACTCTGAGGTATGACCTCTCACAACCAGATATGTCATGGAGCTTGACAGTAATATTAGACAAGAGGCAGTTAAGGAGTCCCTGTGGCAATTGATCTCTTTCCTGCAGCAAAGCAGTTTTCAACTTCGGGATGATTCTTGGAGGGAATATCTGGCCAGTTCATGCAGTAAATATCCCTGTTTTCCAGGTAATTATCGATCAGCTGAGCCCTATGTGTATAAGCTCTGTCGTTTATTAATAGGGCCCTCAAAAGTCAGACACATAGCTCGAAGGTCTCCGCTCTATACTTCATGGCAGCAGGGAGTCTTTGTCAAACACATGCAGAGGTGTACGGCCGTCCAACATAATGCCAGCCCAAATCATTACACCTCCACCACCGTAATTATCCTTTACCCTGAGGAGGGAGGAATGGTATCTTGTTCCAGGCTCTCTGCAGATACAGGTAGTGCAAGAATCAGTGTCTAGGTAGATTCTTGACTCATCTGTAAATACATCGTGCTCCACTGAAATCTGATCCAGGGTGAATCTGCACCATGCTAAGCACACTGTCTTGTGTGTTTCGGTGAACTGAATGCAAACAGCAAGTGTTCTGGCATATAGCCCTATCTCATAAAGCCCTGTAGACCATGAAACTTGGGTTGCAGTGGCTGCATACAAGCTGACATGAAGGCTGTGAAGCTGTAGCAGTTGTGTGTTGCCACGTTGAAAGTGCCAAATAACAATCCTCATTCGCCATTGTGGTTCTTAGTCGACCTTGTCTAGGTCTTCTCGGTATGGATCCAGTGTCCTAAATGTGTTTCCACAAGTTGCAGACAACACTGGGCATTACGTTGAGCTCTGTAGCCACCTGTGATTTTGATTGATCTGCCTCTAGTCAACTGACAATTCTCCATCTCATTCCATCATACGTAGGTTTGTGGCCACTCATTGTATCTGACATCTCAAAAAATGTACCCAACTCTTGCGAGTAACTTTGTGAATGTTGGAAAGAAATACAAGCATATAAATTGCCTGCCAAAACTCCTTGTGCGCTTATATTCCCTCCACAGTCACAGCTCCGCTGGCACGCACATGTATCCTTACGTGCATGCCAGTGGAGCCGTGCCGAGTCGAACTCATGTTGCATGCGTGCCAGCAGAGTTGAACACGTGAATGCTTACGTGTTCAACTCTGAATATTTACATAATTCCTTGGCATAATTTGTACATTTAGTTTGGTACTTTTCGTAAAAGTGGGCATTTGCAATTTCTCTTAATTTTGCAAATGAGTATACTAACCAATAGAAAAAACATCATTTATTAAATTCATCTTCGGTTATAAAATTCAGACTGGTGAAAGAGTGATTCTTCAGTTCCAAAATATCCTACTGGCACCTGTCAAAACTGTCTCAAGTTCATCCCTTTTACTTACTGAGGGACTTAATTATCGTTCAGTTATGTGCTTAAATAAAATGTGTTTAGCCATATTCAGCAAGCGTAGATCTATTAACACACCTTCTAGGTTCTCCCTTTCCAGATACCTGTCGGATTGCAAAGCTCTTTATCTGTACAGTAGCTAAGACTGACAGTTTTAAATTAATGAGTGTTCATCAAGATTAAAGGAAAGATGGTGCCTAAAGAATCCCTTCTGAATACCAGCTGATAGAGTATGGAAGTGCAATCTCTGCATCCTACAATGTTCAAAATCTTCCCGTACTGTTACACACATTAATTAAGTTTGCAGAAAGTTAACTTGCTTGCACTATCCCATTCAGTTTTCGAATTTGCTACATTCATCTCAGCAGCATTATTGAATTGCTATCAAATTGATTGTGAACTTTTGTGATTTTGGGCTTCATCCTCTAGACATTTAGACCATTTAATAATTAGTAACACTATAATCAGTTTCAATGGAGTTTGAATTTTGTTTCAGAAACTAGTTTGCAACACTCTGTTGGTATGTTGAAGAAAGTTCATAGAAACTTCAAAAAATGCTTCCTTATATTATTGTGCATTAACAGTCTTTAAATAGAAAAAGGAATAGTAACTGTAAGCTGAACCAGAAATAAAAAAAGCATTGGTTATGCCTGTAACCAAACAGGAAGTAGAAGATCATCTAATCACCTAAGTGCAATCTTTCTGCTTGATAAAATGTGAATTTTAAATTTTAATAAATTATGGAAGGAAACATTCTTTAATTTGCTGTGTGTGTAACTTGTAATGCATCAAAAATGCCTAAGATTTAAGAAAAGGAAGAATTGTTAAAAGATTATGATGCAGAGTAGCTGTATTTAAACTGAGAATTTCCCAAAAAGCGCTATGGTATTTGCTTGAAGAAAGAACTGTAAATGATTATGAGCTAATAAAAGTAGGAAATGACTCAAGGAAGAATAAAAAAGAGGGAAGCTTGAGAGATGTTGAAATTGCTCTCCTAGGATGGTTTCAAGCAGTGAGATTGAAACATGTGCCTATGGAAATGGAAAGAGAGAAATAACAGTGTTTTTTGGAAACAGCCATGGAGACAAGCAAGAGGCAGATCATCATGCAAATGGTAACAGAATAAAAGATGTGTTACCTGGGCAGCTTAAGGAATAAAAAAGTCATCATACAGATGAAATGGTTTGGTTTTATATGGCATTGCTGGAACATACATCAATGTTTAAAAGTGAAACAGCTGGTTTTAAGAAACCAAACAGCAAGTTATAATGTTATTATCATGCAAAATGGATGTAACAATTTAGAAAACACCATTGGTTATTGGAAAATGCCAAAAAGCTTGATGTTTGAAAAGTGTCAAGAATTTACCTCTGACTTAACAACTTATGGATACCAAGTGATATTTTCATTTATTTTCTCTTTAATTGGAATCTAATAAACATAAAAATAGCATAATTGTTAGATAACTATACTGCAGACCCCTGTAATTTCATTCAGAAAAATATTAAATTTGTGTTTCTTACTGCAAATACAATGCCTGTGAGTTCAACCTATAATCCAGAGTATTATAAAAACTTTCAAATTTAGATTAATTTTTGGAATTCTTTGCAAATTGCAGAGCCCATCAGCGGCTGAGTGGTAAAGTCACTGAACACTGGTAGTTCAGTCTGGAGTTTGAATCCCATGAGCGGGCTGGCTGCATGAGCGTTTTCTTGATTTTCCCCATGTGTAACGTGTATACGAGCCAGCTTCCCATAGAAAGTCCTCCACGATATCATTCCTTCCCTTAGGCACTTTTCCGTAATCACATAAATCAAACCAAATGTTGCAAATGACAGTAAAATAAGACAACATGTGAAAAAAATTGACTGTGATATTAGAAAAAGTATTAAAAGAACTATAGAAATTAAACTGACAGTGAAGGATATGGAAGAAAGTTAAAATATGCTAACTTCATTTGAATCTAAGAAATTAGTATAAAGTTTGAAAGAGCTGTTGAATTAAAAGGTAGTGATCAAGTAAAACTATGAGTAGTTTTAAAAATTTAAGAATACAACTGAAACACTGTTATTGAATAATACAAAACAAGCAGTTCAGTTCTGTACAAAAGTGTAAAATTTCACCAGGTATATATTTATAATTATTCATATTTAAAAATTGTGTAAATAATTTAATTTTAGCAGTAATTTTGAATTATATTTTATATTTAATTATTAGAATAATTGTTAGTTTCTATCTTACTAAATAAATTCAAAGCTAATATCATAATTTTTAATTCTCAAATCACTATCTGTTAAACTCAGCCATTTAAGTAACTCAAATATGTTTTGAATGGAAGTAAGCAGTGGTAATGTAATATGTATTGTTTGATATTACATAAAATCAGATTTATTTGGATTATCTTATATTTATTTCTTTATAGATTAAAATGATTTTCTGCAGATAAGGAGTTAAAATTCTGAAATGTACCCCCCTTCCTTCACATTTTCAAAAATGTTTAAAAATGATAAAGACTTTTTTTTTCCTTTCCAGTTTGTTCTTATACAAAGAGGAAAATTTCCTAATTTAAATAATGTTTTGGAAAAATAAAGTAAAAAAATTCCTCTTTATCTATATTATTCGGCTGCCAGATTCCTATTTATATTTGTTAAACTCAGATTCGTATGTGTGTGTGTGCGTTTTTTAATTATAATAATTTAATATTGAAAAAATCTTTAAATCTTCTAGAGTTTCAAAATTTTCTGCTATGATACAGCCATCACCAGCATTTATTTATAATAACTGAATCAGCTGGCAACATGATATTTTTTATTTTCTCCTTGTATAAAATGAGCCAATTTTCTTTGCAAAATCCTTCATGATGCCATTTATCCTTTTACATAGGCTAGCTCTTTCATGTTTTCCCATGAATAAATCCAGTCCAGTCCTGAAAAAACATCCTTTGGTGATATTTCACTTGCTAAGTGATCATCTAATATAGAAAGCTATCTGCTGTCCCCTAATTAAAGCAAATTCTTGTAGCAAAGTTAGAAGATAGTGTAGAAAACCTCCATACTAATATTGTTAAAGGAAAAATCTGCATATTAGGTTGTACTCTGAAAGAATATATACTATATTCTGTATGTGATAGCTGAAAAGGTTCATGTGGCATTGTGCATATGATTCTAGACACATCAGATAAATTATCAGTTTTGAAATCGCATTTTCACTAGATGACAAAAAGTAAATGATGAACATATGAAGAAAAAGTAAATAGCACTAGAAAAGTACATCAGTATTGTATCAATTTATGAGAATTCATGTAAGGGCGCTTATTGAAACCTTATAAAAGCTTGTGAATCACTATTGTCAACATAATGAGAAACACAGAAGGATGTAAACAGGAAATACCTGATTTTCACATATCCAAAAAGAGTGTTTTTAACATGACATTTCTAGGCCCTGTAATAGCCAACAAAAACATTCCAAGTTTAAATAGGAAATTTTATATTGCCTGTTATATTCAGCAGACCCAATTGCACATTTTTCATGTTTCTTGCTTCAAAATTCCTAATGACTACAAGTATTTAAAAAAAAATAACAATACAAAATTGTTTTGACAATGTTTTGCCAAAAAAACAAATTAAGCTCTAAAATGATAATTTCATAGATTTGACATAGAAATCTTGTTAACCAAATATCTAAAAATGATAGAAATCTTTCAGTTAATATTAAAAGTAAAATTAGATCTTTGATTAAAAATTTCTGCTTTTTTAATGTAGTTGTTTTATCCATTCAGAAATAAATGGGACATTAGCACTCATGCAGTGGCTTATTTTAATGATTTTATAAAAGAAGTTAAGCTGTTTGCATTTATTATTTTTGCAGCATTAAATATTTCATCTTTTAATACTCAACAATATGTGATACTATTATCAAGATTAACTAATCATTTAAATATATAAAATTATTAATTTATTAATATAATGTAATAAAATTATGGCTGTTTCTAGTTTTAATAGAAAGATTATAGCTTAAGTTTTGTTATACATGCAAACCATATTAAAATCTTTTCATTAACTTTATTTTCTTCTGATGTTTTCCCCATTATTCTCCCCCCCCATATATAATCTGTAGACTTTTCCACGAAGAGATGTAATAGGTTTTTGATATGCAGAGCTTTTCATTGTTAATTTTTGTGGTAAATATTTCAAAGACAGATTTATCTCTTTTCCTTAATGATCATCCACTTTCTTCCGATCAAAAAAAATCTGAAACACCGAGTGTGCCTATTTCAGGTGGGCCTTTGACCCCGCATGCATCCTCTAAAGAAATTGGTATGACAACATCTGATGTTGCTCACTCATCTAAACTTCAGGATGGTAAGTCGAGTTCAGTGTATCACTCGCGTTTCGTTGCTCAGACTTTTAAAAAAAGAGCCACTTGAAATAGTGGCACTTTTTTAATAAAATGAATGACGTTTTTCATACGTTTAAAATGCTCCTTTACAATTCCTGAATTAAAGGTAAAATTATATTTATCCACAGATCCATGTAAAAAAATATCTTAATAAAATATACATGTGCTTACTGGCACTTGGGAACAGTAAATTTTATCCTTGATTTAAAAATGAACATTGATTTAAGAATTGCTTTCCTCTTAATGCAATAGGTAAAATATTTCTGTAGTAAATGAAAGTTTCTTTGTTCTGATCTGTTGAGAAGATTAAACTTTATCTCTCTTCTCTGTAATAATTTAAATAATTGTTTAATTATTTGGTACTTTTAGAAGGGCATATTTGCCAATGTAAACTTAACATAATGTAAAATTGTGAACATGCTGAAGTCAAAGTTTATGACACATAAAAAACTTTTATTTAAAAATAATTTATGTGTATAATTCAACATTAAACCACTTTATCTGAGAAAATAATTCTAAAGTATCTTCATAGAAAAGGGCATATTAATTTAATTCATTTTGTGTATTGCATAGTAAATAAAATTCATTTATGCTTTTAAAACATTTGCTAGAAAGTTGGGATTTTGAAGACACAAACAAGGTTAAAACATTTTCCTGTAAAATTTTACTCATTTCTTTATACTTTTGATCATATGACTATCTTATTAGAGGAAAATTATACAGTTATATAATGGAAAATTTTATGTAGCATTGTTAGATTGTTATTCAAGAATACCCATATCTGATTTACACACAATCTTGCACTAAAAAAAGGATTTGTGGTGCATGTTCGTAAATATAATTTTTAAAATGCTATTAAGTTTTTTTTTCTAGTATTTACTTTTAGTATTTACACATCAGGAATTTAGAAGAAACCTAAGTTTCCTATAACATTTACTTACATTAAATAGTAAATAATTACATATAATTTCTCTAAAACAAATTAAAACTAATTTCTATTTAAGGATTAATTAAAGTAAATGATTTATTGATAAATCTAAAAAATAACATAATTATTTTAATTGATACCAGTTTTTAACACTGACAAGTAACCAGTAAATCTTTACCTTAACTTTATAAGAATGCACTTGCAGAAATGTCTACTCTCAAACTTGCAATTTAAAAATAATTTTTGGTGTTTTAAGGTTTCTGGAGTTGTAAAGGATGCTTTTCTGTATTTTGAGATGTATTATTGATTTAACTGAGGTATAAAAGTGAATGTACTTAAATGGCTCAAAGCTGGATTATATGTAAAATTTCAGTACAAGTGTTCAAAATTAAGTGTTAACTTCATCTCTATGAAACACTCCTTGCTTCTTTGATCATTTCTTTTCTGTCCACATCTTTATCTTGCAGTCTGATAACTTCTTTTAAATATGGCATCTTGGAATTTCTGATTTCACATAGATCTCTTTTGCTGAATCTGTGTTATCTTTTGCTTCTTGTTGCACTTCCTCAAAGCTCTGTCACTGGTTATAATTTTGCACCTCCCACTGAAAATGCAAAACTAAAGGTAGCTTGATATTTCACTGCTGCTCGTTTTTTTCATTTGTAGATGATAGATTTATGTAAAGAAGTAAAATTTCTATATTTTATATATATATATTATTTCTGAATCTTGTTTTTATGGCAGAATGGGGTAATTGTAAAAATTTGTTCTTTAAATTTTACGTTAAATATGTAGGGGAAAAACCAAACGCTTTTTAATTTTATACAAATAATTTAGATATCTTGTTATATTTTTTTCCTCTGAAAGTGTAACTGTGCAACTATGTTTATCGTAATTGTCAGCCTTGTTAGTGCATTTCTTCAGGCTGTACATATATTGCTCATAGCAGTCATGATTAAAAATAATGCTGTCCACTGACTGTTGATCTTATTTAACCACTTGCACTAAAAAGATGTGCCATGCATGTCGAGATGCTTTTGTCTCAAACTGCGAGCGACGTGAACATCATGTCGATAGGCATTTATCGCAAAAATGAAAATAACGTGGTGCGCACGTCGCCTAACAACAAGATTGCTTATTTCTCGAGTTATAGCTCTGGATTGCACTCGCAGACGCAGAGCAGCGTAAATGAGACACTTTACCACTTGTTATATTGTAGTGCACAGCACCGCAACCGTGAAGTTAAATCGTAGCGCAAAGCACAAGTGGTTAAACATTGCACTGATCTCCTGATTTTGCATCAGTTGACTACAGCCTAATTTCTTGCTTTTCCCAAAGCTCAGAGATTCTGAAAAGAGAAAGATCTATCTACTAAATCAAAATGCATCTATCAAAAGGATTTAAAAACAGAAGAATAGTATATAAATTTCCATGAATGTTATGAACAGTTGAACTTAAATTTGAAGATTTGAAGAAATAGATTGGTATTGGCCAAGTTATCTTAAAAAATGCTAAAATTTATCTTTCAGAGGAGAAAATTTTATGTGATATCTAAATTATTTCTATTAAATTAATTGGATTAGATCTTCCTATGAATGAAAATTGTGCCACAATTATGTAGCTGTTGTTTAAATAATTGACATATTATGACATATCTGTTCTAGGATTGCAACAGCACACTGCTATGAATATGACATCACAAGCATCCAACATCAGTGGTCCTCTCACTCATTCCAGCCCATATTACATAACTCCAGGAAAATATCAGGAAAACGGAGACACACTGTCAGACTTTGTTAACTTAGTGTGCCAAGAAGCTCAGAATTCTGGTCCAAGCCCACAAGTATGTAATTTTGCTTCCCTGATTCCCCCTAATTAAATACTAAGCTTTCAGTCAGTTTCTCCTTTGAATGTATTAGCATACATTTTGTAGATACACTTTTACACATTCTTCTTTGAAAATGCATGATTATTCTTGGTGTAATTGTAAAATTTAATTAAAAGTGTAATATCTTGAGTCTATAATTGAATTTAAAATGTTTCCAGTATCTTTTGATTGACATAGAACATGAGGATCCTTTTAAATTAATCCATCTATTATTTACATGTGCATTTCTTTTAGACTATGATATGGTATGTATGCTGTGCAAAAAAAGGGAGGGACAGTTCTATATCTCCCATTCTACTGGGTCGATTGATGAAATTCAACTTGCATTTTTCATGTCTCGAAAGGGCAACTTAAGATATGCATTAAATTTATATATAGCATTGTTCTATGTATTTTGACACGAAATTGGACTTACGCAGGCCCATACACAGCAGTGTAGTACACTGCACAGTGTGTTGAGAAACACTGTCTGGGGCACTACTGTCGTAGCTGGTGGTGATTTCAGCTGCTGTAGTTCTTCCGTCATGGCAAACAATGCATATTAATTTCCACTCTCCTCTGGAATCGATCCACCATCAACGACACACTGCTGCTTAGCAACTCGGAGTATTCACCATTTATACACCACTTTCGATATGGCTTCACAACAGCTGCACGTGAACAGCCCACTAAACACGCCAGTTCTGATATTTATGTTCCCAGTCGCCAAGCCATAACAAAAGTCATGATAAAAAATCTGATAATTCAGCTGCTTTTCCCGTTGTGTTACAAACCATGCCATGTTTGGGAACACAATACATAGCCGCTTTATATACTCCAGCGTCAGCCTCGCACGCGCAGTGGTTTAATTCCTGGGCGAGCTCATTGTTATAGATGGGCGGTGGTCATAATGTAATGGCTCTTCAGTGTATATGTATGCATGCATGATTGCTCATCTGCTCATATAAAAATATTTGAAAATTGCTACTAAAATGGTGTAGATAAGCAAATGAGAAGAATATAAAAAATAATACTTTGTGAAGCAGCACGCAGTTTTGCATATTTTTTCCAAAACTTCTAGACGAAGTTTTCAGTTAATATTTTCTTTCACTTTTGCAAGTGTTCATTTGAGAAGATATATATATATATGTTGTCAGTAAGAACTAACTAAATAAGGAAGAAATTTAATATTTGAAAAATATGGTTGGAATTTGAAGAATTCTGAAAATCCTTTTATTGTAAGAACATGCCTCGTGCTGCACTCATGTTTGTAAATGCAAACGATGCATATTTCATGTGACAATCAAATATGCTGATTACAGATAAAATGTGTAACATAGATGTGGTTTATTGACATATGATCAAAGCATAATGCATTTTAATGTCAGCTACATTTAATGAATTAAGTAAAAATGCCAGTTTGAAGAATGTACACGATGATCATAAAAAACTTTCCCAAATTATGAACCCTTAGTGGCTTTATCGACTCAACAAGTCCGAATGAAATTTCAGATATTAGTATTTGAAGTTATGTACTCAGGATTGTAATGAAAACAATAGAGCATCACAGTTATGGTTACAGTGAAAGGAGTTCATGTATCGGAAAGCTTTTTTATGACCATATTGTAAACAACAGGTCCGGATTATAGATCATTCTGGATAATGGACGTCCGGATTAAGGACTTTGTACTGATAAACAACTGCAGTTTTTTTTCAATTCAGCTGTGATAACAATTTGCTATTACACAAACTTGTACAAGTAGCTAATAGAAAAGTTTTAACCTAAATGAAACACAAACCATTCAATGATACTACTTAAGAGTAAATTGCAAATTTGATAAATCATCAAAATAAAAGTGGTTTTGATAAGGCTGTGAAATTACTAATTATGCAGAAAAATTAAAGCAGTTCTGCTCGTTTATAAATGTATAATGTTTAAAAAATAGCTTCTTAATCATTGTAAATTGGTTATTAAAATATATATCAGTACAAAGTCCTTAATCCGGACGTCCATTATCCAGAATGATCTATAATCCGGACCTCAAAGCCACAAACTTTATGCATGCACGCGTTGAAAGAAATGTTTAATAAAGTAAAACAAATAAATATTAAGCTTTTTTTTGTAAAATTTGATACCGTTTAGATCATAATTGCTCTTTATTTCATATTTTTAATTGTATAATTTCTGCATGCCATCTTACCAGATTTAAATTGATGATCTATAATTCGGAAAAAACCCTTAATCCAGAATTGTTGAAGTCCCTACGAGTCCGGATTACAGACTTTGTACTGTATAATTATATTTGGCAGTGCAAAGCTGCTTTACAGCTACCCAAAATTTTGAAATGTTGGTCAAATTTTGTCAGAAAGTTAGCTTTTGGCATTGAAACACATTATATGTAATAATTTTTTGAGATCATTTACATGAATTTAGCAGCTAGTTTTAACTGTTTTTTTTTTTTTTTTTTTTTTTTTTTATGTATAAATTTAGTGTTTTTCCTACTCAGACAAAGCTCAAGGTAGAAAACGTTTCTTGTAAATTCTATTTTTAGTGTAAACATTGGTGTACAAAAGGAATGGTAAATTTTGCAACTGAGGTTTTTAATGTATGGGAAGAGAAATGTTTTGAATTAATCACAGTGATGTTATCAGTATTAATAAAACGTATAATTTTCACAAAAGTTAATATTTTATTAGTAAATAATGATTAAATCTTTTTAGGGTTTAAAATAAATGCAAAATTAATTTTAAGGAATAATAAAATCTTGGAAAGAATGTCACATTCTGCTGTATTAATTCTCTTTATGTGTGCATATATTTATAATTGCCTAATTACAGTTCACCAAACTGCTACAATAAGTGAATGCAGTATGAAGTCTAATTAATTCTATGGTGTTATCTTCAATTTTTTATCCAATAAAAATTTTGTAAAAAATCCCCCCTATGTGTATGTGTTTTTAACTGTATTCTATAATTGCAATTTATTTCCTATAATGGAGTAATTCCTAAAGAATATTTTAATAGCAATTTTTCTTTACTTGTACTTTTTTAGACTAGCCAAGATTCTGAAGCTCAGAGTCCCACTAAGTTGCCCCACTTTTATTCAAACCCAATGCTTCCACCACCACCACCGGCACCTATGGCACGACCTGTTGCTATTATTAGGTCAACAGGTATGTTTTTCCGCTATTACTTATGTAAATTCAACCTAGAGTCACATTTGTTGTTCTGATTTTGTAAAAAATTTCATGTATTATTTAAATTTAAAATAAAAAGGAAAAAAAAAATCTGTGTATAGTCACAGTTTATGTCTGTTTAATAGTGTGCATATTTAACAGGTTGATTGCTTGATTGGCATATTATTATTAATTTGTTTTTGTTACTGTCTATAAATGTATTTTGAAAAAAAGAAAATTAACATCGCCAGCAAAAAGCAGAAGTGTGTGTGACATCATATTTAATAGGTATTCAATGTCCAAATGATGCACAGTGATAAATCATTAAGCTTTTTAATACGTTAAATGTTAGGATGTATTTTTATGTTCCTGGAATGTGAAAATATTTTTTTTTTAATTTTTAATTTTTTTGTAATTCTTTATATGTATATTTCAGACATTGTATCTGGAATTTTTTTTTAAAATGTTGAAAACTAAATTCAAATTATATATAGAATATTAATATATTATGCTCATAGAATTATTAATTCTGTACTTCTAATGTTAGTATTTCATAATAAATGAACAAAAAGTAAAACTGAAAAATTTTCAGGGGAAATTAGAAGTACCAGGTGTTGCACAGATTTTAAAAATACAATAAATTGGTCAGAAGTGCATTAAAAAATCAAAATTAAAATTTATGTATTTTACTGCCTTTAAATTTAATAGTAGAAACTAACATTTGATGTACACTGCGCTGGGGGGGGAAAGGGACAGTTTTATATCTTCCCTTCTACTGGGCCGATTGACGAAATTTAAATTGCGTTTTTCATATCTCGAAAGCGCGACTTAGGATATATATTAGATTTTTATATATAGCATCATTCTAACATAGGTATTTTGATAGAAAATCGGACTTTTTCTGAAATAACGTGTCATTTTTCCCCCCATATTTTGATTCTATGATTCAAATTATGCCAGACTACCAAGTTTTGTAAAACACGCACGAGTAGTTTTTATAAAATTAGCTCTCAAAATTTTAGCTTCTCAATGTTAATTGAATTTTGTACATAAATATATATCTAATTTTTATTAAACTTTTTTTATTCTTCCTTTCACATTTCGAAATTTAGGTTCATTCCAAAAAAAAAATTGATCCATTTTTTGTGATTTATTTTAAAAATAATTTTTATAAATTTTTCAAAAAATTTAACCTACATTAATTATAACCTACAAAATTTTTACCATCATCTTAAATTAGGTGTATTTCTAAACATACTTGCTAAAAATTAGAGTTTTTTATTCAAAATTTTCTAAGATATACACGAATTGACATATTTTCGCGTTTTGAAATTTGGCATCCTCTTTTTTTTTTTTTTTTTTTTTTTTGAGCAATAATAATGCCAAAACTGGTTTATGGATTTTGTTGCAGTGAATTGCCACAGCCATTTTTATCCTTAAATTTTAAATAAATTTTTACGGAGAATTATATGAAATCCCCCCCAATGATTTGCACTAAATATTTATTAATGCTAAAATGGAAAGCTATTTTTTTTAAAATTATTCAAATTTGTAACTTTTTAAAAAATTTCTTTCTTTTTCCCTTTTTTTTTTTTTTTTTTTTTTAACATTTCTAACAGTAAATTTTTACCTTCACTGTATTATTGTCTGCTACTTCATTTAAATTGAATTGTCTAAAACTGACAAAAGTTCGTTTGATGTTTATTTTCACAATGTTTTTAAGCAAACAAGATGTTAACACTTTGGGTCATGTCCTAGCTTTAAAAGACATATATTAATCTTCTTAGAAAAAATGTCTTAAGTAGTAATTTTCTCTCGAGTTGTAGATTATATAAAAAACATCTTCTTTAATATGTAAATTTTTAGACTTAAAAACTAAATAATATGATTAAGATTTTTCGCACCCAATATAAGAATTGGTGGTACAGGATAAGCATTGCTGGAGTTGTTTATTTCTCTCTCATTTAACAAAAATCTTTTAATTCAAGTATTTACCCTTTAGACTTTGCTTTAAACTTTATTTATAGTTAAATTGTCTAGAAGCTGTCTTCAGCTGAAATGCATTTAATGCAACTGGTATTTTTAAAAAATTTGACAAGAATGCAAAATTTATGGAAGTGTAACAACCTAAAAATCTTAATTTTCATGTGTCAGCACTGGAAACAAATGTAGAAGGAAATTAGGAGGGGAAGCAAAAATTTGAAGGGTAGTCTACTTCAAGGAAGTTGGGTGTTCAAAGAGAAAACACTTGGACGTGTGCACCAACAAATAGCAGCAATTGAGTTTGTGCTAACGGAAAAGACAAAAACGATATCATTGCAGATTAAAGTGAAGAGTGACTGATTTTCGACTATATGGTTGTATAAATTTAAAATTACTTCATAGAACATCATATCGAATCATAAAAGGAGCATCCCATGATTTTTCCGTTGAATTATTTGAAGATTCAAGAATTTATCTAGTTATGTATGTGAATGTCATCTAAAGACGTTTTTCCCTCTTGATGAAACCAGTCTTTCCTTTCATCTCATGCCTTCAAAATGCTTAGCCTCTAAAGACTGATAAAGGCTCTTACTAAATACTGATGAAGTGGGTTGAATTGGATTGTTAAGTTACGGGAAAGCAGTAACTTTAACTCTACCTAAAAGGAAGATACCTTCGAAGAACCTTTTTAGAGAAACTAGCTGGCATACACATTACACATGAGGAAAAACACGAAAATGCCCATAAAACCAGCCTGTTCACAGGGATTCAAACCCCTGAGCGAACTACCAGTGTTCAGTGACTTTACTGCTCGGCCGTTGCTGGGTCTTTATGGAATGGAAGGTGATAAATTTATTTAAAATGAATGTCAGAAATACCAAGATGTTTAGAATAGTCGAATGCTTTTTAATATACTTGCTTTTTAATGTACTTGCCTGAAGAAAAAGAGCAAGCCATTAAGAAGAAAAAATAAATTTTTGCATAAAAGTTAGTATTTTTTTTAAATTTTAAACTTTTAAATCTTATGATATTTGATTCTTGCGATTTCGAAAATAAAATATTTGACTAAAATATGAATAACATTTTAAGAAACTAAAGGTAGGATGATAAAATTGTGTAAAGCAATGAGCACAATGATAAAACTCTTTAAAGCAATGTATGCAAGTTATCCCAGGTTAAAATGTCAGTTATACATCTCTCTTATTTATATATCTTTTCTGAACGGAACACTGAAAGGCGTGTTAACTGTGCTTTACTGTATTTTCTTTTTTAATGCATGCAGTTTTCAAATGCATTGTAGTCTGGGTCACAAAGTATTCTTCCGAAAGAAACGCAATCAAATAAAATTTATGTTACTAAATATATTTAAAATGCTCAGTTCGAATGAATAAAAAGAAAATTTTAAAACAATTATCTGAAAAAACAATGCAACACAAACAATTAAAATAAAAGTCTAAAAATTAAAAAATTATGTAAAATAATAACTATGACAAAAAATTTATAAAGAAAACTGTTTGAAAAAAATAAACGATGCACCTTTTATTTAAACTACGCAGTTTGAATGGTAAACAGAAATTTTTAAAACAGTTATTCGAAAGAAAGCATGCAACTTAAACATTTAAAATGAAATTTGAAAAAGAAAAAATTACTTAAAATAATAATTATAATTAAAAATATAATATAAAGAAAATTATTTGAAAAAAGGAACGATATTGACTTTTTCCCCGCTCACGTACGATGTAAAAATGGAAATGAAAATAGGTTGCCATGTATTAAGAAGTTCGCCAACTAAACTATTCTTGACATAACCTGAAAAAAAGCACAAACATAAACTTGTGAATTTCTCCATAAATTTCGCACCAAATTTTACAAAATTTCATATTTTCGCATAATTTGAGTCGCAGAATCAAAATGTGGAAAAAAATTGCTATGTTATTGCAGAAAAAGTACGATTTTGTATCAAAATACCTATGTTAGAATAGAGCTACATATAAATGTAATATACAGTCAAAAGTCGTTAATCCGGACTCGTCGGGACTTCGGCGATTCCGGATTATAGATCATCAGTTTAAATCTCGTAAGATGGCATGCAGAAATTCTAAAATTAAAAATTTGAAACCATAATTTATGAAATAAAGAACAATTTTGATCTAAAGGGTGTCAAAATTTACAAAAAAAAAAGCTTAATATTTATTTGTTTACTTTATTAAACATTTCTTTCAATGTAAGTTGTTTAAGTTGCGTCTATTTATGTGATAATACTTTCTCTTTAATTCAATAAACAGACATAATTCCTTGTTCAGTTACAAAGTTCGGCTGTTCAAGTCCCGTAATTGCTTTGCCGAGAATACCGACTAACTTGTCAATTGAAATTTTTTCATTTTCACTAACCTCTCTGTCACCTTCTTCATGTCTTTATCCATTTTTTGCAGCAATTCCACTTTTTGTTTGATGGACATCGAAACATACTTTTGTTTTGTAGATCCTTTACTTTTATAAAATTGCTCTTACAGTCTGCAAAAAATAATAAGCCAATTCGAAGATTAAGGAACAACACAATCATCAACATTAACTGAAATAGATAATTAGATAATTTTAGCTTATACCGTCCGTTATACATAAAACGCGCACGCGAAAACGTATTCTGCACTTGCGCACACGCATATGCGCAGTCGTAAAGGTCTTACACACACGCGTAAAACGCCTATGCGTGCATGCGCAGAAAGTTTTTAGCTTTGAGGTCCGGATTATGGGTGTCTGAATTAACGACTTTTGACTGTATATCCTAAGTCGTGCTTTTGAGACATGAAAAATGCAATTTGAATTTTGTCATTCGGCCCAATATAACGGAAGATATAGAACTGTCCCCACTTTTTTTTTTCGTAGTATATATCCATCCCCACTGTCTTTGGTGGCAGTTTATCAATCTATCAATTAGACGATAATCCATTCACAGATGTTTCTATTGAATTTCTCAGTGACCTGTTGAAGTTCTCTCTTTAGTTTGGAAACTGTTTGTGGGTTTTTCACTTAAGTTTTTCAGTTGATAAATATGCATAAAAAGAAGTAGCAAGTGCAAGGTCACAAGACATTGTAGGCCATTCTTGATCACTGTCACTAAATGAGATTTTGTGTGCCAGGGAAATTTTCATGAAGCAGCGTTGTGCAGGATGTCAGGCAAGTGTTCTGCTGCAGGATGCGCGGCAGGTAACCCTGTTTTGCTGAAACCACATATTCATGGTATTAACTGCAGGGTGCATTTAATTGTTTATTGTTAGATTTAACCCCTTCAGGTCCAGCACATGGAGAACAAAGTGCGGTCACATGATACCCCTCCCCTCCCGTGAAATGGAACACCACCAGTGGCCCATGCATTTTCAGCAGTTAAGCTTAATTTTACCAAAAAAAAAGAAATCATATAAAATCAGCATTTTAATATAATGACTTCAGTATTAGAAGTTACGTATTTAATATACTAATTCTTAATATGTATTAATATAAAGAATACCACATTAATAGAATTTACAAATACATGCAAAATGAAGTTGTAAACACATGAAAACAAAAACTCTACACTTGAAAACGAAATTACAAATACGAAATTGTAAAAAAATAAAATTAAACAATAACTATCTTTAGGTTATTAAATTCCAATTTAAAAATTCTGCTGTGTATGGAGTAATTCAAAACAAGGATCGACACATAAGACAAAGATGGCTTTTTTCTGAGAAATGCTGAGTGGGTAAGACACAATATGCATTGGAAAAGCTGATGTTTTTCCCTTTCTGTAATAATGCTGTAATGTTGCCTTTTAAGTAACCAAGAAAGCCTATATTAAGTTTTAAAATAAATATAAAAAAGGACAATTGGTCTTAGTTTTTCCATCACAGAAATCCAGCGACGTTACATCTACTATAGTCAGCTACATACACTTTACCACATTCTCCTAACAAAAATAGCAAATAACTTAAACGAAAACAATGAGCGATGCACTTTCCACATTTTAATAATGAAAAAAAGCAAAGAACAAAAATGAAATTTTTAATAATAAATGCGCCAGTGCCCTTTTTATCACGTGTATTTATAAAGAGCCGTGATTTGTGGTTTGTTTACACCAATAAATCTATCAAATCCAGAAACGCAGAAGAGAAACTTTTGCCTGTATGTGAAGGTCAAATGCCGTATTACTCAATCGGTATGAAAACCATTACCATTTAGCACCATTTATTGGCCATTTAAAATTTCAAATAAATCATTCCGCTTTCCAGTTACACGTATGCAGTTCTGGGCTGAAGAGATTGATCGGAGCTCTTCGTGTAGAAGCGGCACTGGGTTGGTAAAGGTAAAATCGTTGCATCATGCCTACTGGCCGTTGGTCATAAACACGTTAAAAGATTGCATAAGGCTTATGCATTGTATGTGTATAGTGCATTGTAATGAATTTCTACAATTACAAAGTGTTGCTACTTGGTAAATGATCTGTAATTTTTTTTTTTTTTTTTTTAAATCCTCAATTGTGCAGAAAGAAAAGTGTTAGGAAATAACAAAACTGATAAAAATGGTGCTCGCAACCTTTATCCAACAAAAAAAAAAAAAAAAAAAAGATAATGCCATGAAATTAAAAAAACTGAACACCAGTTAGAAAAAAAATTGAAGTGAATTGATGAACCAAGCAAATTATGAAACCCTCCGGTTCCATAAAAAAACAGGAGAATATTTCCCCAGTTCCATAAAAAACAGGAGAAAATGAAATTTGTCTCGATAACAATAATTCGATCCATAATTTTCCCAGTTCTGTAAAAAAACATGAGAAAATGAAATTTGTCTTGGTAACAACTTAGGATTTTACTAAGTTATTATTAAGGCAAATGTTGTAACAAAGTAAATTAGTAAGTGGCTATTGCTAAGTATGCTCCTAATTTTTTAAATTCATGTCTTCAAATATATATGGTATTAAGATGTTTATATATGAATTTTTGGTGAAAATTACTCAAATTAACACTTTTCTACTGCATACAGAAGTTTTCATTGTCACTGCATACAGAAGTCACTTTGTCATGATATTGTATAAATTTCTTATACTTATATACATTTTTTATGTATATTAAGTCTCTATTAATTTAATTGTGAATTTATACAAACTATCCAAACAAAAGGCTGTATTTTCATTATCCGAATTAATTTTAAAACTGATGAGAAGAGAAAAAATGGTTTAATAATATTACTTCAACATATTAGAGCCATAATGTTTTAATTTTTTTATGTCTTTTCTTTAAACACTGATCAACACTTAGCCATGCAAAATTATGACACAAAAGTATATATTATTCAGTTTTTTACCATGTCAACATCGTTATCTCTTTTTCACTAACATACAAAGCAAATGACACCAAAGCAGTACACTGCAGGTTAGGACATCTCAGAACACATGCTAACTTGTAATTACCTGGTATTGCAAAACATTTTAGTGCCTTTTGTGTATTCTGAAATTGTTATATTTTACTAGCAACAAGTTTGATACAGAAATGCAAAAATTCTTTAGCATAGCACTTCAGCAGGAATTCCTTCCTAGCACAGCAGATGTCCTACTGATGTTCCACCTCAAACTATGTCTTAATTTTTTATTTATTTATTTATTTATTATTTTTTATTTATTTATTTATTTAATTTTTGTTTGTTTGTTTTGTTTTATGGTGCAATTTTGGTAATTGAAGTTAAAATCCAGTGGTTTGCAAATCTCCTAGGAGTATGCTATACATGAATTCAGGTGTTTTTGTGAGTGTTTTTAACCGATCCTCACAAAAAGGTGTCAGGTTGATGTCTTGAACATTGCAATAAATATTGATCCCCATCTTTTAAAGAAGTCTCTTGAGATGTGTGGCTATCATTGGCAAATTGAGCTCAAGCTTTCTTTAAAGCAATGACCCCCCCCCCCCTTAAGAGTTGGAATACATCATAATACTAAATTTGGACTCCATCTTGCAAAGCTGGTTGCAGTAGCTTCCTAAAGGGGCACTAAACTAAACTGCCTTAGCATTTCATATCTATGGTACTGGTACTCCCTGATATTCAGTTTCAGGCATTTTTTATTCTTAGTGGAAAGTATCACATTACGTGAGCCAACTGTTATCATCCATAGAAACTTGCAGAGAATAATTAATGACTGTGTTTTGATCATGAATCTTCTTGTTCTACAACTCATTTATACTACACAAGAATGGATATAATATGGCATAAAGCTAAAATCATGCTTTAAACTCTGGGACCAGTGCCACACTAGATTGTGTGCTGGCCAGCAGAGGCTGATTGCTAATCTGACAGCCAAGGTTTAGGTCTCACCCTGTGGTGCATGTTGGAGAATATTTTAGATGATAAAATGACTAAATTATCGATAGTTCATGATGAATGATTAATCAACAAATATCTTCCATTGATGGAGGGCAGAATAGTACAAGACTATTTCATACTGTAAGCATAAACTACATCTACAAATTATAGCATGTCCTGGTCTTTTTAGTCCAGTTACTGTTGCCTGATTTTCAGTAGAGGAAACCAGTGCCCAAAGCTATCTAGTGTACAAATTTCAGTACTGCTATTTACTCTAGCACCATATTTCTTTTATTAAATGAATGTACCTATGTTATAAAAATTTTTATATTATATATGAAAGAAATTATTTCATAAATTATTTGGAGCAACAAAGTATGTAGAATAATTTTTATACCAGTTTTACTACTAAAGGAAGAGAAATGCCCTTTTTTATCCCCCTTGTGTGTCTAAAGTTGCAGAATACATATTTACTGTTGTTTGGGTACCCTGATTTTCATCATCATCATTCAAAACAAAAGAAAAGTTTTTCTAGTGCATAATGCAACATACAGAAATTATCACAAAATGTTGTCTGCCCTAGATAATCTTAATATGCAATACCAGCTGAAACTGTTATGGTAATTATACTAATATGTTATATTCACTCTAGGAAAACTTGCTGCATTTTCCGACATTAATGCTTCTGCTCCTAGCCCACCAAACAATGTCAGCCAGTCTGGTCCTAGAAATAGTTCCCCTGTGTCTGAAACCTCATCAGTTACTAGCTCAGTCGTTAGAGATAATCGGAAGCAGCTAGCATCTCCACCGGTTACCTCATCTGGTAAGGAAGTTACATCGTTAATTTTTGGATGGTACATAATTTTTGTCTGTAAACTTTATTTTTAATATGTCAAAAGTGTTTAATTAAAAATATATAGTGTTAATTTGTAGAAACGAAATGATTTTATAGATAATTTAGAATGCTCACTGGACACAATAAAAGTAACGAACATGTCATTGTAAAACAACTATGGCTACCAAGTTTTTCTGATTTTATTTTGCACTTGGATTTTCGTCATTTTTATCCCTTCCCCCCTTTGGAGTTGCTTGTAAATGGAAATGTGCCTGGATAATAAAGGTATTTTTGCGAATTTAAAGACCAGCATAATGCCTACAATTCAGGAAATTTTGCATGCAGTGTTGTGATGGATAACTTCTGATGCGAATTTAGAAAATTATCTTGTTAATCTGATGACTCACTGCTACACATCTTGCATTTTTATACATTAAGTTCACAATATTTATTGGCATCTTTCAGTGTCTTTATATTGTAGGAAATGTTGCTCATACTGCTGTGTTGAGAATGTATTGTGTATCGTGTTGGATGCAATGCCTTGTAATATTACACATGGAATTTTCTCGTATTCATTGCCCTATATGGGCTTGTAGATCCTTCACAGATCCTTGATTACCCCTGTAATTCTGTTCTGTACATAGGTCTGTAGAAAAAATTCCAGAAGATTATAAAGGAATGGCTGTTCTAGATAATCTTTCCAGTTGGTGTTTTTATTGTGTCAAGTAATTATCCTAAGCTGTTCTGCATATGCAAATAATTTATTTCAGTGACTTTATAAATATTCTACTATATCTGTGGCCCACCAGCGGCCGAGTGGTAAAGTGGGTCCGAGGTTTGAATCCTATGAACAGGCTGACTGCATGGTGTTTTCATGGCTTTCCCCATGTGTAACATGTATACGAGTCAGTTTCCCATACAGAATCCTCCATGAAGGCATCCCTCCCCTTAGGCAGATAGCCCTAGTTTGTTTTCCTGTAATCTCAATAAACCAAACCAAACCTGATGCAAAGTGTTCATAATCTGCTGACTCAGCTCTCAATAGCATAGGTAATTTTCTAATTTTAATAATGCATTAAATTGTAGGTGAGTTATTAAATAGATTTCAAACTTATAAATTACTAATCAAATCTTTTTTTTAATATATAATTTTGTCTTAAAATTTGTTTTCATATTATAATGTTAAATTTAGATAATCATTAACTAAATGATTCATAAGTTATCAGCATATTCTAACACAATATTGGCCTAGCAATATTCTAGACAGGTCACTGCAAACAACTGATAAAATTTTAAGTGTCATAGATATTTACAAATCTGATGTATAGTAAAAATAAATAATTGTATATTTAGGTTTAATCTTGACGAAAGCTTTAAGATTTTCTATTTGATGGTTTATCAATTTGTTGTTTGGGATGACATAAGATTAGACAGCATGTTTCTTAGTGCTATAAACTCCTGTTATATTGTACTTAAAAAATCTATATTAGATTATTTTTTTTAATTATTATTTTTTCCCATTTAGTATTTATATTGCTTGTGCAAAATCATTGGTTAAGTAATGTAATGCTAAAAATCTGTTTTTAGGTAACTGACTATTTAGAACTAATCTAAAAAAATTTTTAATTTTAGACGGTCATCTGATCTTTCATTAATATAGAATGCAAGTGTTTCCAATAATTTAGTCTTATTTGTCTTTTAGGATACTAAATATATTTATTTCATAGAATTTGTTTATTTCTGTAAAATTTATTCTATCCATTCATTATAATTCACTGTATATAATATTAATACAGAAAAGACTTCATTCACATATAATTTAATTAATATGAAGAATTCTGTTCTCCTCTCCCCAAATGTAGAAAGTCTGCGAGCAAAAATTGGTAACCAGATGCAAAGAAGATATGCAAGCAAAAATTATTTATAATCAATGCAACTAATTTTCTTAGCATTTAAAATAGGGAAAATTTTTAAAACATTGCCAGTGATGCATTTGTAGCACAAAAAATTGTCTGCAGATCATGTAGACCATATGTATGTGTTAATTTAGTGTCAAACTAAATTAATTTTGCTTAATTTTAAATTGGTTGCAAGATATTAAAAATAGGTAACACTTATTTATGCAGAGAAATGCATGCATTTTTTGTTGTATTGAAAGCTGAAGCATCATTCAGCCTTGTCAAAGAGACAAGAATGGAATCAAAAAATAACCGGAAACGACTGTGAATATTTTTTGTTTCTACAGTTGCTCCTGCTGGAAACAATGGACTCGATAGTTCCCAAGGAAATCGAGGAGCCATGAGCAGCCCTTTTGCTTCCTTACCAAGGCCCGACAACAATTTTTCTCATATTCATCCTCAAGCCCACCAGGTAATAGATAATTCACACCTAAAAGGGGGGACGCATTTCTATCTCTCTCTTTTTTAATATAGTTAAGTTGCTATCTCTTTTATGTACACTCTTTAAAATTTGTAATTTTAGTTTAAGAGCTGCTAAATTAGCATTTAATTTTTGAGATAATACTTGATCAGCAAAATGTTTTGCTGATAAAATGAAGTTTCTAACAATTACTTGAAGCTGAACTATAATTAAAGTTGCTAATAACTAGATTCTCTCTATTCAGAGTGAGTTTTTGCATTAACAGAGCTTAATTTCACATAAAAAAAGAGAGAAAGAATTAAGTTGAACTAATTAAAATTGCTAATTCAAGGCTCAGTTCTCATTACTTAGGGTGAAATTTTGCCTTAACAAATTTTGATTCCACATATAAAAAGTAAAGTGGAAACTTTGAGGGTAATTGAAACTTTTAATTACAAAACATAGCTGTGAACTAAAATCTGCAAGTTGATATAATTATTTATTCTTAAAATCTCTAACCACTCATAAATGTAGCAACTCCTGCTTTCTGGTGGAGGGATAATTATATAAATTTTAATTTTCATCTGTATCTAACATTTCAGCTGACAATAAAAATTCTGAGCAAACTGCATCACCCCAGTAAGATAGAAGTTATATTGACTAATTACAAAAGATCGTAGTAAATATTAAGAAAGATATAATAAAACTTAATTTTTTTTAATCATTTGATAATCTTAGTATGTTAAAGATAAAGGATAAATGCTACTGTACTAAGATTTTCCATCGTTGGTCATCTTTCATGATCACTATGATATGGCTGATGCAACCTGTTCAAAATGTTTAATTTAAATTTTGTAGAAGTGAGACTGTTAAGCATACTGTTATATAGAGTAGGACTTGGTTCATTTGACTGGCAAGCTTTGACTTAAAGCTTGCTCACTAAATTTTATTCTATGATACAAAACTGTAAGGAGAGAAAAAAAAAATTTCACGGAGTGATATTTAAATTAATTTTCCAGAATGAAGAGTTTTTCTGAATATAGTAATGTATTAATAAATGCACCCTTTGAAGATAATTAAAGCAACCCAGCAATTTGCTATGTCTGTTTGCCTAAAATTTAAAATAGTTTTGAAAATTTTGTGAATTTGGTTAATTTGGGAGCAAATATGTGATGATGCTGTATCAAATTAACCTTTTAAGTGAACAAAATGGTAACATAGTAATTAACTTTAAGTTTTCTTCCTAATTCTTATCTTCACACACATACACACATTAAAAAAATTACACAGTTATAAACTAAATATATATTACTTTATCTGTTAAGACACAAAGATTTTTAAATAAATAAATTAAGCCTCATTAAGAAACTTTGCTATATCAAATTCTAGATCTTTTATTTTTGTTAACCAGTTTGTTCGTAAGCTAGATTTTTTAAAGTATAATTATTTAATTTTAATTAAAGTATAATTCTACGTTCGAGATGGTATTGACGTGGAAACAGCCTAGACTCCAGCTTGTATGGATTTTCCATATTTGCTATGGAAATTCCTTGAAAACTATAAGCTTTGTAAAATATAGAAAAAGATATGCAAAACTGAAACAACTTATTCAGTAATTGACAAAATGATCATGACATCATGTATCACATGGTTAGTTGAGAGTCCTGAGAAAGATATATGGTTTATGGGTCCTCATTTCCTTTTCATATAATTATTTGTGATTTAAAATGTTCATTTAAAAATATTAGGAAATTAGTCATGTTTCTGCTTTAGTAATAAAATCTAATTAAATATGTATATAATTTACAAGAACTATTTTTGATATTTCAGTTTTTTTATTTATGAAATTTAAGTTAAATACGAACTGGTATTTTTAAAAAATGCCTTTTTGTGCACATTTTTAAAGCTGTAAAAATGTAATTTGTGCACTGACTGCTATAGGTTGGAGTTTATGAAACAGTATACTGCAGAATGACATCTTTTGCATTAGATGAAAGAATTTCAACAGTTTTCAACTGCTTTCTTCCTTTCCCCCTTTTTTAAAATTTTACAAATTTATTAAATAAATTTGTTTTTATTTTCAAAAGATGAATTTGAAATTTAAAGTTTCATAAGTGAGATATTAATTTATTGTATTAATCTAAATTAATTTTACATATGAACTAAATTAAGTCTATTTAATTTATAAATCCTAGTCACAAATTATATAGAGAGAGAGAAAGAGGGAGAACATCTTAGTTATTTAAAAGTAACTTCATTGATATTTTGTATGAATTTGTTACAATTTCATATAGTCCTTTTATTTTCAGATATTTTACAGTAAATATTGATAATATGCTTTTTACCAAAAGTAATGAAATCTAAATGTTCTTTATTCTTAATTAACTTTTGGTATATTATTGCTATTAGCTTTTCCAGTACACAAATATAAGTCCAGTGAGTGCAATCAGTGGTATGATAAGTCCAACAAATTTGAGTATGTTTACCTCTCCTCAAACAACACCTCGTTCAACTCCCAGAACCACCCCTGTGCCACGATGGAGTGCTCCATTTATTACTTTAGATGAGAACCTCGATTACAATATGATGGCTGGGCTTATGCCTGGAACAAATTCTGATACTGATCCACCTCATATAATGGAAGCAGAAGGTGAAATAGAAGGTAAGTGTTTTTTGGATCAGCAAAATTTGTAAAAAGCACAACAGTTAATAAAGGGTTAAATAAATATTTTTTTAATTAAAAAGTTACTAAGTAATCTTTAGTCAGAAAAACATTTTGTTCATAAAGCTTTGAAATTTGTTTTCAAGACAAATATTATGGTTTAGGATAAATTTTAGTTGTCTGTATTTTCATTTATCATTCTGTATTCCTCCGTTTTTCATCGTCATTCCTTAAGCTTCCATGTCATATATATATATATATCCATTCAGTATTCAAAAATATTATTAATTATTTTATGGTTTAGAAAGAATCTTGGTCCCATATTTCTAAGCTTTCAAAGTCTATCATCATTCATTCCTTCCTTAACCTTCATGTAACAAGTATTGTATATTTTCATTTGAAAGTATTTATCCTAATGCAAGTACACAGATTTCCATCTTGAAATGTGTCCAGTATATTGGAAAGAAAACAGTACAGGTACACAAGTTTTGAGTAATTCTCCTCCTCTCAGGGTGTTCAGAAAGTGAGCTTCCCTTAATTTTAAAATTGATTTGTTCACATAAGTGGTTGTTTTCATCTTTCTAACTGGGGGATTTGGGTGCATCGGCTCTGATTGATGAAGCATAAGAAATATGAATAATGAAGAGCTTCAAGAAAATGGGGATCGTGAGAGCCACTTAAAATGTTTGCAAATTATTGAAAATTGTTGCGCAAAACCTCTTTTGCGTTTGCAGTATGGTATGTTACACGCACGAATCAAACCTAAGATCAAGACCAGACAACAATTACTTCCTAAGGACACCTGGAACTCATACCTCGCATATCCTCTCAGTGCTAACAGACGACGACACAAACAAGCAGCAGCAAAAGACCAAAAGCATACTAGTAAGCCTCTTGCCTTGGGACTGTCACAATCTAATACTCATGATAGTTCAGAAGATCATTGCTTGTAGAAAGGCAGACATGATAACAATGGTGACAAGGATGATAACTTGTAAATTGCAGCAGACGATAAAGATAGCAGTTCCAGCAGCATTAAATGATTTGAGGTCTAGGGAGAAGCAGTGAACAACAATAGCAGAGGGTGATGTTCAGGATATTGGGAAGTAGAAAGAAAGATATCATATTAGGTACTGTAATTTTAATATTACTGTGCATTCTTATTGGAATGTTGTTTCTTTTAAGTAAATAATAGTGTGATTGTTACCAGTAATTAATTCATGAATATTTTTCATTTGTTACATTCTTACTGTAATCATATCCTCTGTTAATGAAATTAAATTCTTAGCATAATTTTCTCCTCTTATATGAGTTAACTCAGGAAATGTGGTTATTTTTTAAGTTTCATGTTTTCTATTAAAATTGTATAACTGATTATGCATCAGTTTGAATAAATAAGTTAATTTTGTTAGGAAATCATTAATTTTTGTAGATATTTTAATATCAGTATTATCCTAGCAACAAGATGACACTATATATTATCCCTTTGCAGAAAATAATATTATTATTTTTATGAAAGAGGTATACAAGTTGTCAGTATATATTTTTATTAAAATTAATGTCTTTTCTTGATGCATAGGCTATGATATCACCCATTTCTTATTAAAACTGCTTATTTTTCAAGTCTGATGCATATCATAAACCATTATCTTTTTAATAATCCAATAATTTTTACCTATACTGTTTTAAATGAAATTAGCTAGTTATAAAACAGAATGATAACATGTAATGTTATATATTTGTTAATGAATATGGCTAAATGGTTTTACATTCTCAAGACATATTCATATTATTACTCCTATTTGTCCATTTATCTGCAAAAAGTTTCTCAAATTTTCAGCACAAATTATAACAGTAACATACATTTCTGTTGTAACTGTTTATGGATTATTTAGTTCTGTAAATATAATTTTTTTTTGGCCATTACTGTCATAAAACTAATAGTTTCACTAGTAAACTGTGCATGATTGATAAGTTAAATAGCAACAATCTCTAGTTTTACATGCAAAATATATAGATATTCAGCAATGAATTAAATGACTAAACTGTTTGCTAATCAAAAGAAATGTTGCTTACTATAAAGAAGGTTTGCTGTGTATACTGAGGTGGGCATCTACAACTAGTTTAATTACATTTTAGTGCCTGTTATTGAACAAAACTCTAGATTATTTTTTTCATGTTCAGGGAGAAAATACCAGACAAAAGTTTCCTGATTCAGCAAATGATTATATATTAGGGAAAATACATTTATTATTGATGATCCTGAGAAAGTATTAATTGTGTATATGTTGATAAATTTTGCACATAAGGGGACGTGGTACCTTAAAATCAATGAAATTCTGTATTTGACTTACTAAGGGGACGTGGTACCTTAAAATCAATGAAATTGCCCATTTTTCAGATTTTTACTGAAAACAATCTTAATACCCTTACTATACTGAAAAGAAATTTTTAAATGATCTGAGGATAATAAATGGTATAAAAATGCTTTTAAAAATTATGACAGCCCTAAATGCCACACTCTCTTATTAATTGTTTCAACTTCTTAATTTAATTAAAATAAGTGTAAAAAAAAAGAGGAATACAGTGCTTTCCCGATTATCCGCGGAATTGGGTGGCGCGGCCGCAGCGGATAACAAAATTCACGGATAATCCGAAAAAAGCTAAAAACAGGTATAGCAAAAGAGAAAACAGTCATTCCAACTTTAAAAATCGTTTTTATGTAAAATAAAGCGTAAAATAAACAGCAGAAAATGTTTAACTAATGCTTAATATTTTAGTATATCACTCAAAACTAACCTAATATGCATTTTGTTAATGAAAACAGAAAAGTGCTTTGTACTTACGAGAAGCGTCAAGGATACACAGAAAAATTAATACATATGTACTGTTTTAATACTGTAATGTATTATGTAATTACAAAACATAACTGTAAAATTACACCTTTTTGAAGAAATGAGTCATTGCTTCTTGCTTTGGAAGCATTTTCTCTTTATCTGAGATTGCATTTTTCGTAGCATAAGTTTCTCGGCCAACTCCGCGTCGTCTTGTTCTTCCAAATAGCTCAACAGTCCGTCGACTTTTTTCAAAGCCGCTTCGTGTGTCTGTGATTATGCCAAAGCCTCGGGGGTTATCCTGCTTAAGAGGAGGGATGCCTTCGTGAAGGACTTTCTAAGGGAAACTGGCTTGTATACACGTTACACATGGGGAAAACCACGAAAACTCCCATGCAGCCAGCCTGTTTGCGGGATTCGAACCTCGGACCGAACTACCAGTGTTCAGTGACTTTACCGCTCGATTGCTGGTGGGCCACCGCTTCGTGAGTCTTCCGCATCTGCACAGTGGGCTCTTCTTTGCTTTCCTTCATTCTCGGTCTCTCCTCTTGCTTTCTTCACAATTTCGTCATCTGTCAAGTGTTCGAAGCCAGGTTCGTTGACGTCACACTCCAACCACTCATTAATGTTTTCAGCATCGACGTTCGCACCACCCGGAACTGTTTTCACCATATCGGCAAGAGTAGCCGTGGGCGTGTCTACATCTTCATTCTCTTCTTCACGACTCAAAGGGGTTGTTGTTAGATTGTTGTTGGCTTTAACATTAGGCATGAGTTTTTTCCATGATTTTATGAGGGTTGACGGTTTCACTGAGTCCCATGCAGATGCAATATCGTAGATGCTGTCTAAGATTGTGTAGTGTTTCCAAAATTCTTTCAGATCATAACCTTTTTCAATTTTGGTCATTAGCAGCTTGGTTCGGTATGTTCTCTTCATTGTTGCAATGACTCCTTGGTCCATGGGTTGGATTAGCGCAGTAACGTTTGGGGGGAGAAACTTTTCAAAAATTTGTCCATCAGAAGACTTTAACACGCTTGTTGTTGGTTGAGAAGGTGCGTTGTCGATCAATAGCACAGCTTTTTCAGGCTGGTTTTTCAATTTAAGATGTATGCGCACTGGAAGAACAAAGATTTTTTCGAACCATTCTTGAAAAATGTTTCAGTTCATCCATCCTTTTTTTTTTTTTTTTTTTTGTTAAATAATCAACGGGCAAATTTTCTATCCTTGTGCCTTTGAAAGATCTCGTTTTTTTTTACTTTCCAATGACAACAAGTATAAGTTTATGTCCACCGTTAGCGTTACTGCAAGACATGATAGTGATCCTTTCCTTGCTGCTTTTGTGACCCGCCGCTTTACTTTCACTTTCAAATGATAAAGTGCGAGTGGAAAGACATTTTCACAAAACTCCCAATTCGTTGGCATTGTAAATTTGTTCAAAAGATAGCTCTTCTTTTGAAACAAATTCTTCAAATTCATGGTGGAAATCGTCGGCTGCTTGTTGGTCACCACTAAGTTTTCCCCATGAAGTCCAATTTCTCGAAATCCATGTCGCTGCTTAAAACGAGTCAACCAGCCAGAAGATGCATCAAAATTTCCTTTCAGGTCTAACAACTCAAAAAAGGTTCTTGCCTTCACCGCAATGATAGGGCCATTTACAGGAGTACCCTCTTTTCGAACTTGAGCTAACCACTCTGCCAACTGCCTTGAACCAACTTGAACTAACTAAGCCACAAAACCAAAAAGCACAAGCACTGAACACAATAAAAGATAAGGAATTAACTCTGACAGTTTCGCAAACACTATCAGGCTTAAACTAACAATGGAGAAAGGGAGGAAGTGGACGTGTCAGTAAGATTAAGACGAGAGAGGGTGGTGGAGCGGGCACTGCAAGGGTGAGTAAGAAATCACTTACTCATCAGAGGGGAAGGTTCCGAGAAGGCCTGGATATTTTTGCCATAAATAAGCACGATGTTAGCAAATTTAACTTTCTACTCAGTTTTGTGAACATTTTTATTTTCTTTGCTTTACACTTGTTTAAAAAAAAAAAAAAAAAAACTTTGCAGCAGGCGTGGATAATCCGCCTGCGGATAATCGGGAGTCTACTGTATAATAAAGTATGACTGCAACTATCAGCAAACTCTATTTATATTCTTACAAATTTGTACATAATTTCATTGCTGTTGTGAAAGTGTTGCCTTTTTCTGTGTGACGTAACATAAGAAAATCTAAAAGAGGCAAGCTATGCCAGAAAATTAAGAATACAGGGGCAAGTGCATTTAATATTGAGTAAATGGTTATCTCGATAATTTGGCATGATATCGCCAAGCTGGCAGTGGTTTCAGCAACTTATTTTGTCATCAAAATTGGCGAGAATTTGCTAAAAGTCACCAAACTTGGCAGCATTTTGATCCAGTGCCTGCATCACCATGATAAGGATCATAACTGAATTAATGTAATTGATCACTAAATTAGCTGCAACCATAATTCGACCCTCATAATGCTTTCCTGTAATTTCAAGAAGCAGAAAGTACTAGATATGTTTTGGCAGCCGGTTGAAAACTATATAAGGCCGGAGAGAGCATCTGCTATCAGTTGTGAGTTGTTAGTTGAGCATGAACTGAGATATCTCCAGGTTAGCTTTCTCTTTAGCTCAGCAAATATTTTGATGTGTATTATCAGTCAGTTTTCCTATGCTTCTTCAAAAATTGAAGTAATTTGTGAAAAGACGGGAACAGAAAGTGGTGGCATAATGAAAGTGATCAAGTTCCTGATTTTAGCATTATTGAAAATCATGCTGGAACAAACATTAAACTCTTTAATTTAGAAGTCAAATAACAAAAATCAATGTTATATTTTCAAATTTTCACTAGATTAGTTTCGATGGTTTTACCGAAACATCATCCTCAGCTGCAAAAGCGCAAATGAACGAGATAAGATATTGTGATTAGATATCACAATAGATGATTAGAATATCTTATCTTGTTCATGGAACAAACATTAAACTCTTTAATTTAGAAGTCAAATAACAAAAAATCAGCATTATATTTTCAAATTTTCACAGGACTAGTTTCGATGGTTTTACCAAAACATCATCCTCAGCTGCAAAGGCACAAATGAACAAGATAAGATATTGTGATTAGATGTCACAATAGATTAGATAGATCACAGTAGATGATTCGAATATCTTATCTCGTTCATGTGTGCTTTTGCAGCTGAGGATGGATGATGGTTCTGTAAAACCATCGAAACTAGTCCTGTGAAAATTTAAAAATATAATGCTGATTTTTGTTATTTGACTTCTAAATTAGTACTTGTTCAGCATGTAATGGTATCATGATTAAACTCTTTAATTAATTAAAATACTCCTAAATTATTTTAAGATGCGATTTATATACAAGACAAAATAACTAAAAGCAGAGAAATCTCGTATGCTGTTGAGCAGTTTTAAATAAAATGTTTTATGTTTGTTCAAATTTCAATTTTTTTTCTTTTGAAAAAATGAATAAAATGACAAATTAATATAATTAATATTTGCTGTAAATGTTTTGATACTGATTATTAATGTTTTAGAAAATAATAATTCATATATTAAAATTGTTTTGAACGCGTTTTACAAATCAGAAAGAGGTAAAGAAAAATTGTACTTGCATTTTATGGGTTTTTTTGGGGGGGGCAGTATTTCTGGCCAGATAATGTTTTAAATAAAATATTCTAATTTATGTTTATATTAACCAATTGAATATTTCTAGATTTTATTTTAGATATATATATATATATATATATACTGAAATCCGGTAATAAAATTTTTAAGAAATTTGAAATGATTTAATGATTATTTATTCAGTTTACATTCTTTAAACTGCATGTTCTCAGTTTGCAGTTTTTCAATAAATAAATTTTTCAGTAACAAAATTTTTAAGAAATTTGAAATGATTTGATGACTATTTAGACAGTTTACATTCTTTAAACTGCATTTTCTCTGTTTGCAATTTTTTGGTGAATCCTTTTGTATTTGTTAAGTCCCAAAACTTAACAGATATGGACTAAATTATTTAGTATTTTTACTGTGTGTTTAAAATTATATATGCAATAGGAACAGGGATGGGTTTTGCAAAATACTGAAAAGAAAAATTATTGGAGATGAAAATGTAATATTTTTACCAATTTTTCAGTTTAAAAAAATAAAAGTACATAAAAATGTGCTTTTATTTTTTTCCTCTGAAACTAATTCATTAATTGCAAAATTGATCCTTAAAGCTATTAAGAACATTCTAATAAATACAATAAAAAATTTGGTTAATAGACATTGGAAATTGTAAGAGTAAGGCAATTTAATTTTTTTTCAAAAAATTTTAATTTAAAAAATTAATCAAAAAAAATTTCTTCAGCTTAAAATCATATTGTCTTACAAAACCATTTAATAATATTCATAAAAAATAAATTAAAGTTCTTAAGTGAAAAAAATCATTTAAAAGATACCGAGTTCTCTTAAAACAAAATGTGTTACACTTATTGAAATTTTAGCTTTATAGAGGCCATATCAAATTTTATATTTTATATCTGTGGAACCCTGTTGAGCAACTGTCTTCATAAATTTCGTTGCATTAATTAGAGTTTGTAATTCACCGTATATGTGCATGTGTGATCCATGAAAATAAAGGATGTAGCCATCTTTTTGAATTCCCCATATAAACCCCGTGCAGACTGAAGAAATTTTTAAGTGATTTTGTGAATATGTTCTTAATTGTTAACATTAGTATTTGATGCTTTATTTCTGTGTTAATTGCTTAAATATTTTGTAATAAAATAGCTTACAAACTGTTTTTTTCTCTCTCCCACAGAGCGCTATTTCACAGTAGTTCACAGTAGTGATGGTGTTGATGCTAGCAGTCAGACAGCTGGCAGTAGTGCCTCCGTCACACCCACCAAGCCTCAACCATCTTAAATTTATGAATTTTTATATTTTAAAACTAGGTTTGAAATGTAAATTAGGATGGAAATTTGTCGCTTAATTCATTTAAGCCAGTTTGTCAAGATTATGGTTTTTATGTGATTGCAGTTTTTTGAAGAAACTTTGAAATCTATACATAACATGCAGCTCCTGGATGGTATTTGACAAACTTTTGCCATTGCTTGCAAACTAGAGTACAAAGCAAGAAGATTAAATGTGACTTTGATGAGTGGTCTATGTGCCATAGACAATCAAAGGTGTAAGACAAGAAAAGAACCTAAACTTTAAAGGAGCATCAAGACTGGATTTGATGCCTTATATAAAGTGCCCTGCAACACTGTAGGGTGCTGTGCTCTTAAATTCTCTTCCATTTCATTGCTTATAGCTCAGAGATTTCTAAGACAGTCTAACTTCCGCCCATTGAGATTTCACTATGATAACTTCCTGGGGCCTCAGTAGCTTTTCAAGAATTTTTGCATTTTCAGAACTTGCCGTAGACTTTGACACTCCCAGTGAGATCAGAGGGGATAATGGGACACTTCTGCTCCATTTTTCATGAAATTTAAAGGGAGCAGAATTACCCATTACTTGGACAAATTGTCATCCACTTGTCATTTCTTTTTCCCTCAATTGACTTATCCATTGACAGAAATAGATTTCCTAAGCTAGTGATAAGTATCTAAGTGGAATATTTTACTAATTACTACACATTAAATTGATTTAATGATGGTTTCAGAGTTACTGGACATGTTTATTTTCTATACAGTCTGTGATTTTGGAACTTGTGGATGGCAGTTATGTTTTTTAATCTTCCTGGCCCCTCTCAGAATCAAGCTGGATGTGTTTGCTGAATGATTTAGGACGATTTCCGTAGAATAAATAATACCAATTTTTCTCACTTTTTAAAACATCAAATAACTTGGAAGGCATCTCAATTGCCTTTTGCCTTTCAAATCTTTACCTATTAATAATTCCTAGTGATATAGAAAACTGTAGGATATTTAGTGGTTGCTAGTTTATATAGAAGCTCCTAGCGAAGTAAAAAGGAAATTTTTATTTTTAACACTTTTTGCTCTCAACAAATAAGCGCCATTTAAGAAAAATTGTAGGAGGATAGACTGTAGATTAAATTTTCAGGGGTGCCAGAAAAGGGGGAGATGTATTAAGTCTAAAATTTTTAGTTTACTCTTGTATTGTAAATTTTAACTAAATGCCTTAAGTTTTTTGTTTAACTATTCCTGAATGTGTACTTCAAGATCATTTTAATGCTGGTATAATAACAATTTCTATTTTAAAGTAATTTCCAAATAGTAATTCAAATTTCCAGTTATTCTACTCTGCCACAACGATAGTGATTTTAAAGTTCTATAAACGGGGGCCCCCAATTTGTTATGGCACCTCTGTACATTTTAAGATGAAAAAGTACTACTGTAAGTGCTCTTGATTGAGTCTCTTTTGACATTGTTGAATCTATTACATTTTTCAAGTAGAAATTATTCATGAACGTAGTGTTAATGTTAACCATTTTAAATTTTTTGCCTCTTTGGCAAATGATTAAAATCATTCCTAGATCTTTAGGAATACTTGTTGAATGATTATTAATTCAGGGCATCTTTACACTTGGCCCGATCTTTCCTGATAGAGTAGATTTTCTCTCAAATTTCCCTCCTGTAAAAGAAAAGCTAATATTTCTCCTTTTTCTATTACAGAACCAACATATTTTTCTGAACTTAACCCCAAAAGGTGTCATGAATGTTTTGTTTTATTGTGTGTGGTGCAACACACCCACTTTTTAAGTTTAGTCAGACATATGCCTTTATATGTTGCAAAGAGAAATGTGATTTTTAAGCAATAAACACAGTTATTTTTCCGAACTCTCTTATGCCGCAATGCCGTTATTTGTGAAAAATGATGACCTTGTGCAGCAAGCGAAGATTGTCATAAAATCTATATCTTTTTATGCATGTAAATTACAACTACACTGGATCATGTTAAAACTGATAAAAGATGCCAAAGAATTGTATAGTACTTGGATCTAGTATTTGTTGCTGACTACTGGAGGGAGGGACTAAAATTTACTTAAAATCTTGAACATAATGCCGTGGTGCTAAACTGTTCTGCATGCAGAATAAGTTCCAGAGGAAAAAAATGCAAAGAAAATTAGCTCAGGTATTCCAAGTCTCGGCAGAGATTTCGGTGTGGCACTCCTTTACTTTGTATACCATTTGAATTTATCCTTATATTTCTGTATATGCACTTCCTATACTATTATAATACTTATTCAAAAACTTACTGGAAATATGTTATCATATGTTATAATTAACTTGATAAACATAGAGGTAGTATGAATTATATGATAGAAAATTCTCTAAATTTTTATCTGCATTCAAATTTTTCTATGGCTGCTCTACTATTTATGCATTATCATGCAGTTCTAAAATATTTTGAGCTCTTTTTTCCATCTAAATTACTAGTCTTTTATCTAAATTTTATCTAACCGAAATAACATAATTCTATCTTCTCGAGTAAAACTGTCACATATTCTTTTAAGAATCCATCGTATGCTGAAAAAAAATTTTAAAATAGTTGTATCTCAAATAAGCTACAAGTTTATTTTAAATTGCTAGTGCCATATGTAATTTTTTTCCTCATGCCCTCAAAATCAGAATGAGAAACTTTTATATTGTGCTTAGTACATAGTATGATATTTGATTAAGACGAAATTATTGTTGTCATTTTACAGTTTAAATTATTTAAGCTTTTGGTGCCTTTGGCAGTCTGTTTTAATACTTGTTAATTTTTTTATTTACACTAGTCTGTATATTTTTTGTTGATTTTTCTAAGATTGTACATACAGTTATTACAGTTATAGATTTATGTAGTTGTAAATTAAGAGAATTAAAACAGCAGAGTCAATGAATCATACACCCGGTGTTTCTGTGTAGATTTTTCTTGCTTTGCATATTTTTGATCATGCTGTTAATGACATTTATAATTATGAATTTCAGTATGTTTTGTCCAGATATATTCTGAAAAAATATGAACCTAATCCCAAGGAAGGTGCCTGTGTTCCTTTTTTGTTTTTAAAAATAATCCATGAGTTAGTCTTCCTAACAGTCCTTGAAAATACCATTTCATTTTTCACAAAACTACTAAATGCATTATTTTAATTCATGTATGTATTTGTGTATATAATGTGCATTGTACAGCTTTAGTTAGATGTTTTTAATATATATTGCATTAGGAAAGTTATCTTAACATTATGATAGATTGAGTTTGTAGTCGGGCATACTTGCTGAGGTCTTTCTTTTTAAAATTTTTCTGTGATTTTTTTCATAGTGATCTTATTAATACAGTGCAACATGTTTTTGCCTGAGATTAACTGAGATCAAGAAAAAGTCTCATTTTCATTCTGATGAAGATTTTGAAAAATCGATTTGTGTATCATATGTATGTGCTCATTAGTAAGTGCTTGAGGAGAAAGGAACTGCTGGTAAAATTCAGTTTTGCATCTATCAAAAGTCTAAATTATACAAAATTTATTATAACTAGATTTTGCTGTAATTTTGTTTTTCTTATGCATTTAGTTTATGTGTCAGTTTATGAAAGTAACATTATTAAAGAAATTTTGATTTGCAAAGAGTTTATTTTTATTAAATTTTTATTTCCCTGTGGCAAACAAGAACCAGAATGGGTAATTTTAAGCTTGTCCTACATCTTCAGTTTTCTTTGTTACTATTGCCTGCATAAATTAAAATTGAGCTTTTGATTAAAATTCATACTTAGTTATCTTCCCTCCTGAAAGCTAAGGTTTCAGCTTGTAAAGGCTAAGATATGTGATAGTAAATGTAAAATGCTTCTGTGTAGATAATCATATAAGATATAAGAATATTATACTAGTTGTAATTTTTTATTGAAAATATATTCATATTTGGTCAGTACCTTTTAGAGGGTGAAAACCGGTAATAGCTTTATAAATTAAAGTATTAGTCATATTAGTGCCAATTGTTATCTTGTTAATAATTATTTTTGTTGCAAAATCAGCTTTTATGTGTATTTAGTTTTATTTTTAAAGTAGTAGCTGTAAATAGTATTTTGTGTTTTATTTATTGTTTTTACTTAAAAGCAAAAGTAGTCCTGAAAATGATCATTTGTAAAGTTTAATATCTGTTTTTGTATGATTGAGAAATGTGTAAAAGCACAAAAGCTAATAAATATTTAAATGAATGTAAAACCTAATTTTTATGCTTTGTGTGATATAGTTATATTACTGAAAAAAGTAATTATTAAGGAAATTTTATGTAAATTAAATTTATAAACATATTCATCAGCATAGATTCTCTTTAAAATATTTAATAATTTATAAATTGTTAAGTTATTGTCTCTTAAATGAAACATATAAATCTAAGCTGCCATTTGTTTCAGTTCTTTTAGCCTTTAAAATTATGCATATGTTCATTAAAAAATGTTTATGATAAGTGGTGTTATTTAATTTACCAAATTATAGATTTGAATATCCAAATTTTTTTCTTTTTAAATTTGTTAATTTGTGCATCATTTTCACAGGCAGCATTGGTGAAATATCCCTTTGCTATTTCTTTTCATCTTAAATTTTGTGATAACACATCTTTTACTTTGATAGGGAAAAAATTATGTATATCTTTACACCCAAAAGAGCCAGCTGTCCCGGTGTTTATAATTCTAGTCCTAAAACTTATATTATTCTATTGGCCTAAAATTTAATTTGAGTGCCTATGGTAATATATTGTTATTAAATCAAACTGTTACAAATATGCATAAAGTATTTGAGTTACTTGACTTATATATTTACATTTTATGCCTAGATCATTTACTGTAAGTTGTTGTAAATAATTAGAAAAGTTTTAAATTAGTGAATTAGCTAGTTTTTATATTCAGAAAAGTAATTCTTAATAAGGTGCTTTTGTGAGTGAGAGAGTTTTGAGTCATTGTTCTGTTCCTTACATCACATATTATGTGTTCAGAGTTCAAAGTTAGACAATTCTACTCGAGAAAGGATTAAAATTCAAGTTGTTCATTAATTATATTAGTCTGCTATAAAAATACTTAGCAGTGTTACCAAAAGCAAAGTGTGTGCATGATATTATCAGGTACTGTTTTTTATAAAAGTGTTTAGGACTCACTCTGATGTTTTATATCTTCATGATTTAGTCCTGGTTTTTAAGGCAGAAATCATCTGCTATTGAGTGGTTTTGTTTTATCAAAGGCAACATCCATTTCCCTGAAGCAATAAATAATACAAAAGCAGTATTTTATGAATAATGTTGAGCTCATCTCTGCCAAGTGCCTGATATTTTATAAAATATTTGCCTGTATTATCAGAACTTGTACTTCATTTTCATGCTTATCTACATTAGCAATAAAAGTTGTACATATGCCTTATAAATCAGATTATAGTGTGTGTAGTTTTATTGTGTGATTTCTGATTAGATTTAGCTGCAGATATGAAAATGGTCTAAATTTTGCCTTGCCTCCTACATATTTTTAAAACTTCCAAAAATTCTCAGTTGATAATCCATATATTAATATGTTCTTTAAATAAAAGTTCAACGCATTTTAGTTTATCAGAAAATTAAATAGTTAGATACTTTTTTTATCTTGAAATATGAAAAATGAAAGACTTTTGAATAAAAGAATCAAGATATCCAACAGCCCTTCCCCTAACAATAAAGATTAGAATTCACTTTTTATGCATGTGAACAGTATACGTACTTGATGTTATTTACCAAAGGCATAAAATTTGGAAAGAGTAACAGAAAAACATATACATTACCAGAATAGAGAGAGATACCAAAGTGAAATTTGGTAAACACAGATTACAGAAAAATGTTTTGTTGAAATCATACTCTTTACTTTTTTTAATACATCTCTTAATGAAACCTAGGCCATGAGATTTAATCAAAATCGTAAAAAACAACCTTATATTTAGCGTAGGTATAATGAATATAAGGTTGTTTTTTACGATTTTGATTGTCACATTAGCGTGTTTCTCTTCTAGTCTAGTCATGAGATTTAAGTTTGTGGTTTATATTTCCAGTTTCATCAAATTACTGATAAAATATTATAACTCTTTATATTTTCTATACAACTTGACTGTAAAATTACCTAGAAAATGTAAAGGCTAACTAATATTATTTTAAATTAAATTTTTGCCTTAGAATCAGTTAAGAAAAGTATATATAGGCATCCCATAATAAGTTAATTATTCTTTGAATTTTGCAGTGATAATTGAATCTCAAATGCAAAAATTAATTCAGTAGGAAATTTCAATGTTGCATCTTCATCCACATTTGCAGTTTATTGTTTTAACATTTTCAAAAACCGTATTTTATTAGCTATAACTATTGTATAAACCTTTGTTCAGTTAGTTAGAGTAGATTATTAACATATCTTTCACTCCAGTCATACATACACTGTATATGTTATGGACAAAATATTATATAATGTCCAAATGATTAATAGATATTATAAATAATACCAAGAACTCTATGGCTGAATAATGAATAGCTGTTAGTTTATCACTATGAGCAACCATCATATCGGGCAAATATTTCATATCTCTGAGTAGCGTTTTCTCGATTGCTTTCTTAATTTGTACATTTATAATCAAATCCCTGTAGTGTTTGTTTCTGAATCAACTCTAATTTAAAATGAATGAAAATTAAACTTCTGTGACTCAAATATGCAGCAAAATTGTACCTGTTTCAGTAAGAAAACAGAGAATAAATCAATAAAATTAAATTGCAGTTTAGCCACTTTGCTAAAATAAAAATTAAGTTGTTAAGATTAAAATTTGACTGAATATTACTGTAAAATTACTTATTTAATAAATATTATATAATAGTGAATGCTAAATTATCTTTAGGTTAAGAATTATCTTGTATTACCAGAAATATTTTGTTATATTATATTGCATTCATTCTTTTATATATATATATATACACAAATAAATATTCTTTAGTAATAGTTGAGACTTCACTGATATTTGGAATAACATATTTAACCAACATTAACATCTATCAAAATCCAACCACTTGTTTTGCTCAATGTCTGAGCAAAAGTTTTTGATCTGATTCTTCTTCAGCAGCAGTCAGATTTTCTTTACATTATTTTATGTGAAAAAATTTTTATAAGGATAGTTGAAGACATATTTCCTGAAGAAGAAGAAGCAGTGAGTGTATAATGTATGTTTATCACTTTGCCTGAGTGGACTGGTGTAGTAAATCTTGTATAATGTACTATTAATCTCTTACCTCATAACGTTTGCATTTTAAAAGTGAAGCTAACAAAGCAAATTTTCTGGTATCTTCTGTATAATATTTTTTCTTTTCTGATTTTAAATCTAATATCTTCAATTTTAATACATAAACTTGCTCTAACACCAATCTGCATATTAGGCATGATGCCAGGACTTTGATATGCTGTAATAGTAAGAAAGGAAGAATTATTATTTTTAGAATAAACAGTGAACATCAGTTGAATGATATTCTAAGTTCATAAATATCACTGTCTGAAGTAAACCATCTTTTAACACATTGATTAAGCATTAGCTTTCATCTGAAATCATTTTTGAACAAGATGTAATATTTTCATTGATGCTGTACTGTTAAATTATTGTCATAAGGAAAAATGCAATATAATTTATTTATCTGAATTGCCGTAAATTATTTCAATCTGTGTCAATTAAAATTAATTCATTTAACAACAAAATGAATATTCTTTTTGATTATTTTCTTTTGAAATATAAATCATTGCAGATTGTAACTATAAGAACTAATTAACATGTATTATGTTGTAAATTTTATTATTTCACTGCAGTAAAAAAGTAGTGGCTTAATTTTACTTAGATAGAAATAGGGTATATCATGTAGATAAAAGTTTTTTATTCTTAATTGAAGTACAGAAAAAATAAAATGATTACTTACTTAGGTTTGGGTGTCATATGAACAAAAATTAATTTAATTATTTTATTTTAGTTGAAACAGTGCCTTTTTGTGTTAAGCGAAATAAAAAATTTTTTTTTTTTTCTCAAGTATTTTGTGTATCAAAAATACAAATGCATTTTCAAACTTATGATGTGTTTGAAGAAACCTGATGAATGAAGTTTCCTTAGCTTCATTACACCCAGTGTCATGCATACAGGAAGAGAGTTCTCCCTCAATAATATATGTGTGTATCTTAATCCTAGTAGGTGTATGAGATACTTCTAAATATCCCCCCTTGCCTTTTTAGGATACAGAATCACGAATTGCAATTTTGATCATTATTCTTAATCATTAAATGTAAAAATGTCTAACCATAAATAATTATAGAATGAATGCATCTCATAACTAATAGAATGGGAAAGCAATTTTTAGTATTCTGAAATTTTTCATATTTTAAGTAAAAAATACCCAACTGAGTGAATATCTTATATTTATGTACAAAGATTATTAAATTTACACTATGATAATTTTCATATCTGCAACTTAGTCAAGTGTGTTCTCTCCTCAGCAAGTGATGCCCATATGTAAAGTTTGATTATCTGTTATGATGCTAAAGGAAAAAAAAAGCATTCTCTGAGTTTCTGGCCTAAACAATATTAGCTCATTTTTGTTGCTTGAAAAGTTTATAAAAATTCAAGTCACTTCATTTTAGCAAGAGAAACTAATTATTGGTTGTTCACCTATATGTTTTTAAAAACAAAGATTGAATTCTGTATTCAGATTACTGATTTTTGTTTGTAAAACATAAAAATGGATTGTAATATTGGCCAACATTATGCTTGATTTCTGCAATGTTCAGACAATCATGACTATTTCATGCTTATTCATATTAACAAAAAAACTTTTGATGAAATCTGAAAACCATTAGTTTTTGTCTTTTCTCTACAAGTGTTACAATAACAGCTCACAACATCCATAATGTTAGTTTTTTAAAACAGAATAAGTTTTGTTAATACATTTACTGAAAGAAACCTTTCTAGGGTATTAATTAATTTGCAGTAATTTTATCTTTAAATGAATTTTTTCCACTATAACAATTAATTTATGATTACATTACTCACAGAATATAGAATTCTAAGAAAATGCCTTTTCTTGTGCTCAAATTTAAAAACATAGCTTCATCTAGTATAACTGTATACAGTTAATGTAAATGTAGAAGATGTACATAATTTTATATTGATATATAATTTTAGATTTATAATTTTATTAAATGATTCCATTTAACTGTTATCTCCATCAAGAATGAAAATCCATAACCAGAATTTGTTTTAAAATTATACCATATTATAGAATGAATAAATTCAAATTTCCTTGTAAAATGATTATAAACGTTATGAAAGTTTCAAGCTGAACTATTAATGAATCTTTCAAAGTACAATAAGGAAACTACTCCATTATAATAAAATGGTTTTCCTTAACCTAAAGTCATAAGTATGTGTTTAATTTTCAACCCTAAGGAATGAAAATGTAGCCCTTCTTAATGGTAACACATCTTACTCCACAATTACACACAATCCACAATTTAAGTCATTAGATTTTATTACTTCAAGAAAATCAGCAGAGTAGAATTCCAATATCTAGATCTGTATTGTTCTTTATATATCAATCAAATTAGGCTCTGTTTTTTATTTAACTGTTTGTTTTAAATTTTTTTCATCCATTTAAATAGTATTAGAAAGTATCATAGTAGCTATTTTAATGAACAGTTAAACTAATTTCATTCAGTTACAGTTAAATTAGTTTAAACATTCAGATTAGCCTGCAATATTCAACAAATATACAGTCATAAACAGTAAGAGAAAAGCAATTATATATTTTATATAAACCTGCTGTTCTTTGCTTATACTCTAATCCTCACTTAACCATAGCAAGTGCTTCTTTTCTAAAAATAGATTTAAAAAAAAATAGGACATTAAATGAAACCTCTCTCCATTAAGGAATTTTTATCTGACAATATGTACCAGGGAAATCTGCTTTTGAAACATCTGCTCCTGCTTCCTGACTATCCCCTATGCTACTGCACTTCATCGCTGATGACTACACATCTGATCGCAGGATATAGCGCTTCAACATTACTTGTCTCTTATGACGGCTTATTGCATTTTTACGAACTCTTACAATCGCCATCAACTGCTGCAGATTTACCAATAATTTTCCTCCTACTACAATATTTGTTTAAGACTCTCACTATGCTAATTAATATTCGAAAAGCTATCTACTTGTTACATTGGGATAGGGAGTCTTCCCAGGTGCCCGCAACCATGAACTTTATTCAAGAAGCGATAACCGAAAAGAAGTGGCCCCGTCTTTCCACAAACGAGGGCAGCCAGCCACCCCCAAACTAAATTAAAAATAAGTAAGCACATCTAACAAAAAAACAAAAAAAAAAAAAAAAAAAAAAAAACTCAAAATCACAACATAGAACACCAAAGATATTTAAAACCCTTATAAATACAGAGAATTCAGTTTTAACAGAAGATTCCAACAAGCCCCCTATTTTCATTAATAAACTTCATTAGAGCAATGGTATATGATTTTAACTTTACAGTTAATGGTATTTGCATTAAAATCTGTCTAGTAAGGGTTGTTAAACCACAATCATACACAAAATGCCTAGCATCACCATCAACTTGAAAACTGTTACATAGTTTATTTTCCTGCAGATTAAATCGGTGGAGATACACTGGTTATCATAAATTAAGGAAAAATAACGATAACTCCCTCAAAAATAAGCCAAACCGTGTAAAATTTGACTATGTTGCCAAGTAAGAGTAGCTGAGTAAAACTCCAATATGCAAATTAGTGGCGCTGCACTCGTAATACGTCATTTGCGAGGAGCATAAAAAGTCCATGTTTGAGAGCAAGCCGCATATTTCAGTGTGATAGTGACATCAGAAATCTGAGATAACCAATCCGTAACAACGACCTCCAGGCATCATTTGCCTTCAGAACTACGATAGAGAGCCATTGGGAGACTAGAGTCAAGACAAAGTCAAACAGAAGTGGCTAAATGTGAGTCCTTCTATGGTTCTAGACTTTGGAGGCTATTTCAAATCACAGATTCGGCACCTAGGAGGTTCAGCCAAGGACGACCAACTGCTACGACGAGCACCGATGACCGATATTTGACATTATGTGCACTCAGGAATAGAACCGCTACTCCTACTCTTCTTAAATCCTCCTTTGCTGCAGCCACCGGGAGTTTTGTGTCAGCGTCAACTGCGCGTAGAAGGCTTCACGAAGGTGTTCTGTATGCGAGCCGAACAACCATTTGCGTGCCGCTGAAATCACGCCATAGGAGGGACCGTTTGCAGTGGGCACGACAACATGTCCACTGGACGCCTGAGCAATGGAGGGCTATTCTCTTTACGGATGAGTCCATGTTTAGTCTAGAAAGAGATAATAGGCGTTATTTGATATGGAGAGAACCTGGAACCCGTTATTATCCGTCACCCGTGAAAGTGATGCATACCGAAGAGGCAGTGTCTGTGTTTGGGGTGGCATCTCTTTGGGTGGATGCACAGACCTTCATGTTTTTCCAAGGGGCACCGTGAATGTTCATATTTATAAAGATGACATCCTTAATGCTTATGTGCGCCCGGGCAATAGGTGATGCTTTTTTGTTACAGGACGACAATGCAAGACCACACAGGGCTCGCATCGTAGATGATTATATTCAAGAGGAAACAATTATGCGCATGGAGTGGCCAGCTCGATCCCCGGACTTGAATCCTATCGAGCACGTTTGGGATGCTTTAGGGAGACGTCTAGCTGCTCTCAATCCGCCCCCTGAGACCCTTGCCGCGCTTGCAACTGCTTTACAAGACCGATGGCTCTCGCTTCCTATGGAACTGATAGACCGCATAATTGAAAGCATCACACATCGCTGACTGTGCTGTATTGTTTCTAGAGGCGATTATATTCCATATTGAAGGTACTTTTACTATAGCAAACTGATATCTTCGATTTGTTCATTTTATACATGTGCTAATTTTTATACTACCATACTTGTCTGGTAATTTCTTTTTATGTTATTTGATACCTTACTGTGTGTTGTATTTTGTGTGTAACTTTTATAAAACTCTACATGTAACTTTTTCAGTAATCGTGATTTTTGTGATTTTTCCTTAATTTATGATAACCAGTGTAGAACAGAAAACTACCATGTCCAGTTAAAACCTGATTCACGACAATATTCTTCATACATTTCATCTTGTTCGTGATTTTAATTTAGTTCCGTAAATCTTTTCTTTTTAGATGAAGAGAACCACTGTGTTTTCCATTTGTTAACATAATATTCTTTTATTCTTTCAGTAGCAATTTTCATCGAACTTGTTAGATCAGTATCAATTGCAATAACATCTGAGACCGCCTGCTTGGCTAGGATGTCAGCCCTTTCAGCCTACATGAGCTTTACCCCAATGTAGCTTAATATTTACATATGAACTCAAAGCTGCTAAATGACTCATAATTTCGACAATTAATGGATTGAAATTGTCTGGGCGGAAAAGCGCATGAAGAAGTGACGGGCAGTCAAGTGTCAATATTTACAGACGTAGTTATAAACAAGATATTTTTAATCCATATTAAGGCTTGTTTCTTGAGCACTTCACTTTCTGCTTGGAAGACTGAATTATTATGTGTTCAACTTAAACAGTCTACCTTAATTCCACAGTATATATAAAAAAAAGTAGCTCCTACGACCCCCCGACCCCAGAATCATCAGTATATATATAAAATACATCAACAGTTGGATTACTTTTATGAAAATCAAATCACTTTATGAAATGATGTCTTAAATTAATATTTAATTTTTCAAAACATTCTTTGTAACCAAATAATCTCCATACATTTTCAATTCCATTTGTGCAGTTCTAAATAAAAAGTTCTCATAATAAAATTCATATAAAATTGAGAGAGGGGCAGCCCAGCCAACGCAAAGACGGCCTTGGTAAGCACCGTTCTAAAACATCGGGTTAAAGTTAAATCCCTAGCTCTCTGAATACTGTCTAACTTCATCCCCGTAATCTAATCAATTCCCTCGCCCTGGATCCCCAGCCTCCAATTCGATACATGATTATTAGTAGTACAACATTTAAGTATATCTTTCTCAGGATAGAGGATTTCAAAACTAAAATCTCAGCTGAAGGAGTTCTATAATTTAATATAATTTCAGTTTGTATCAATTTAAAGTGTTCTACAAAATTTAATTTTTTTATCAATCATAACGCCAAGATATTTCATATTATCTACAAATTTGATTTTTTTGCCTTCATATTTCAAATGTGGTGGTCTAGTCTTTTTACCGATATTTCAAACATATAGGTACGTAAATACTTTACATGCCCTAAACATTTTACCGCCAGGGACCCCCAACTGATTTAACTCACCCCTTTATTAAATACTGTTTCAATTCAAGTCTTCATGAGCAGATCGCAAAACCCCTGCCTATCAGAGGGTTAAAGAATATGAACCAAAATAGCAAATTTAGAAATTACACTCTAAACGAAAAAATTAGCAGTCGATGTTTAGCCATTCTTTGAAACCGCATATTCAAGAAGCTTCTAGCTAATTCCCGAGCCTCTTGATATCCCTTCGAATCTTCTGGAAACTCAGCCCCATATAAATAAAGATTACCAGACATTTTGCCGACCAGTGCAGTTTCTGAGGGTACCAAATTCTAAAAATTTCACCGCTATTAAATTTTAATGCCTGCACCAAATCCTAAAAATTTTGCCATTCCTAAATATTGTTTCTCGTTGCTTCACTAAATTCTAAAAAAATTTGCCGCACCGTTTGCATCAGCACTGCAGATGATTAGTCGGTTTTGGAAATAATTTTACAATGAAGGTTTTTAACGA